ATTCTGTTCACACATTGAGCAATAAATCCGAAACCCGAAATTATGCCATTGCCCGCCTTTCCTTTTTTCTTTATCCTGAAGCTCAAGGACCTCAAGCCCCTTAAACCCCCTTAAGTATGCAACAGCCATTTACAACTTCGTCGAGCCAAGATGACCGAACTATAAAAAACCAACTTGCAATGCTAAACAAGGGAAAAGGCGCCGCAAAATGGAAAGCAAAAATTAAGAAAAGAAAAAAGAAAAAAAAAACTAAGCCAAAAGGTCAAATGTATTATTAAGCTGCCAGTGTGTGTGTGGCTGTGTGTTGGGTGTGTTTCTCTAAAAGTAAACGAAAAAATTTTGTATTTTGTTATTTATTTTTTTTGGGTCAAATGGTCACCCCTTCTTTTCCACCTGCTTTCTGCCGTAATGACCTTCAAAATTTTGGCCAAGTATCCTGTTAAGCCCTCAAGTATCCTTTTAACCAAGACCCCCACACACACACACACGCACACACATCCACGTGTCATTAGATACAAACATTTTTTTTTGCGCCACTGGCGATTCGTTCTCCTTTTTTGCCCATTCTGCTGCTGTTGCCGCTCGTTTTTATTTGCCAAGTGCACGCAATGTGACAAAACGTGGGCGGCGGCAGGTGAAATGGGCCCCAGTGCTTAGGGTGCTGAACAGCGGACACGGTGGCTTTGGACCCTGGTGCGAATTATAGTGTTACATTATATAACGTGCTATATACGTCTGTTCGCACAGCAAAACAAAAATAGAACCAAATGTAAGGAAAGGGCGAAAGCGCGGCAACATCATAATTAAAACACTTGCAGTTGTGGTATTAACTGTAGCCGCTTACCGCTCACACCTCACTGACAGAAAATAGTGGTGCTGGGAATACTCATAACTCAATAAATTAAAAAAAAAAACAAATAAAAAAAATAAGTTCCTTTTCATCAGACGATTTACTATGTTTTAAAATTGCATTTTCTATGTTTATCACTATTGTAAATTGGATTGCTGCTGTGATTAGCATATATTCAGATTTATTTTTGATGGCAAATATTAATCATGTTTTGTTGTAAACTAAATATGTATATATAACATTGTATAAATTTTCTCTGATATTCCCTACTTTCCGCCAGGCCAACTTTTCAAAAATCGATTATTGATAATAAGACACTTTTAAACTAGATTTCATTAAAAAGAATTTAAGAAATCCCTTTATAAGAGATGAATTGTAATAGTATAACTTAATTGCCCATCCTAAGTTATAGACGAACACCTTAGGGAGAAGTGTGGATTTTGGTTGTGGCTTTACTGTGCTTAAGCATGCATGATGTGTTTTATTTTTGTGTAATTATGGAACTAACTTTTGATGTCTGCCCTTTTTGCCGTTCACACCCAATTTCCTCATATCTCTCGCTGCGCTCTAAAGCTATATTCGATTATGGATGCAGGCCAGGTTGTTTTGGTTGTTTTGGTTGTTTCGGTTGTTGCTTTGTTTGTTTGTGGCTTTCTGTTTCGTTGGTTTTTCATCCCGGTGTTTATGGCACTCGACTGGACTAGCGGTAAAAATAATTAAAAAGCCGGAGGGAGGAGAAAAAGAGATTTCGGCCACCATTAAAACGTAAAAAAAACGTTCAGATACTTGAAATTTGAAAGAATCATGAAGTGTCTTCGGTTAGGAATGTAGATATATAACATAGATAGTGCTGGCATATTTTTATTACAGCTACATACACACAACTATTTAACTAAAGCTCAACGAAACTTATGCATTTAAAAGATTTGTAATCTTTTCTTTTTGTAATAAACTCATGCATACAAATGGTCGAACAGGTCAAAGGTCATGTTAACTGACAATATCGTCGAAACCGGGTAGGTATTTATCGATCCACTCTCGTTTGTATTTGCGTCAAAGAAAAAGCTTGTGCCAGATTGCAATTGAAGCAGCTCTCATTACCCACTATCCATCGCCCAAATCATGGCACGCCTCCCATATCTCAGTACCCCACCCCCCACCACCACCCACCGCATGTGCCAAAAGCCGATGGCGAAAGCTAATCAAAAACCACTTAAATGAAAACGGAGGCATTAGTGAGCCTCCCCACCGATCGCCCAATCCAATACCAACGGCCCTTTGCTAACAGAATAACAGAATCACCGAGCACGCAATGCCAGTTATCGCCAGTTTTTGCTTTTGGGCCCTATTCCATCCACTATTCCACTATTGCCAGCTCTTCTGCTTTGCCGGATTTGAATTCTCTTCACTATTATTATTATTATGCCTCGCTGATTGACTCAAGTGAAGGTTATGACATTCAAATTATTATATTTTCAATAAACGTCGCGCGCTAATCAAACAAACTTGAAGAGATTCCTTTTCTCAAATAAAAATAAATAACAATACCAACAACTGGATACCCACGTTATCTTAACAAATTCTTATTTTGAATAGTACAACACAAATACTATTCATTACAAAATTAAATATAGAAATGTAGAATCAACAGAGATGAAATTGCTAACACATTACGGTTAAAACCAGTTGGGAACTATACTGTCGCAAGAGAGGCCAATCGTTATACCTATATATCATATTTGCGTTAACTATGAATAGTTTATACATTTGTTATCAAACTAATGATGTCGTTGTCATTAGGAGTGATTTGAGTTTTAAATTTTAATACACATTTAATTATTGAACTCGTGTGTAGGCCTCGCAAACTCAAGACACCTTATTGTTATGCACGAGACTACAGGGCATGTAATCGCACAACGACAAGAGCGATGACAGCGCTGGCATGCGAGAGCATTTCTAAGGACTTTTTGGCGACATCGACGACACACGACGAAAGTCTTAGATGGGGGCGGAGAATCTGCCAACTCAATTATACAAATATTATACAAACATTAGAAATGTATCAAAATAACGAAGGATATTTGTCAGGGCACGAAACGAACGGAACCCTTGGAGAGGCCACCAGCCACCAGCCACCAGCCACCATTACACGACGACTGTCACTGGGACAAGGATGACTCGGCACTGACTTTTCCGTTGGAGCAGCGGAGCACACCGAGCCTTGGCACCAAACACGTGCGAAATGGGCGAAAAATGGGACAACAGGCCAATCAATAACACAGTGCAGCATATAAGAACGGTGGATGGCAATCATTCACGGGGGTTAAGGTTTTCCCTTCAGTTGGCTTGGGGTTAAGGCTCCTGGCATGATAATTGCGATATTCGGAAGGTAACTTGTTGCTCTGCACTCTAGAGTTTCTAAGCATTTGAAAAAACTTTTTTATTGCCACTGGGTTTAAGTTCATAGAACTTAAATTATCTAAAATAACTGGGGAAACTGAATAAAACCCAAGGGTTGTTTCCTGGTTTAAGGTTTAAGGTTTTCAACTCATTGGTTGGTAGTGTAAGTTTTGTAATTGATTCATTAGAACCTGGTTGACAACTATATTTTTATCAGGAATTTAAATAGTAATTTGTATAGCTCAATTCTTGATGGGTATCGGTAGAAAGGACCAGTTTTAAGAATGAGCAAAATTCGGTAACCGTCACGTTACCGAAATAGAATGATTTTTGCATTGCCGGTTTGTAACCCTTGCACGTTTTCACTACGTTCCCTGAGTTTGTACATTAACTATTTGCGCACTCAGCACCAATCAATTTTTATATAGTTTATGATTATTGTTTATCACCCCCAACCAAAGCGCTGCAGTTGTTTGTAATGTCGCGTGTCACATTCAACGAGATTTTTTTTTTTTTGGACAACAATTGCCCCAAAATCCCCATGCCTTCCCCAATTTGCAACCCTTTTCTGCACTTTTCTCTGTTTCATTTATATAATTTGTTTCGCATTACATTTGACGATGGTGGTTTTTTAGTTGTGTGAAAACAATTAGATGAATGCGATTTGGATTGTGGCTTTTACGGGGAATTGTGTAGGTGTTTTAGATTGATTACATAACACACAAATAAACACATAGATAGTTTTGTAAAGTACGATATGTACCTAATTGGGGCAGGCGGTGTTGGTCAAGCGTTGGCACTGACATTGCGATTGCAGTTCCGGGAAAGTAAACAGACACCGCACACCAAATCATAAATATTATTAAATTCTTGACCATTTAATCGTTTTTAATTATATGTATTTTGGGTGATCGAAACAAAACGAAATCTGTGTTTACTGTATTGGAAAGCCTGAAGATTATTCTAAACAAAAAGTAATTTGCGTTATCGATCATAAAAAATATATATCTTGAAAACTTAGATGCAATACTTAAAGAGATTACTCCTACTCTTTTAATCATTACTTGAATTTGGCACAAAATCTTTCTTACCAATATTAACTTAATTTCTTAGAAAGTGTATCGTCCTAATAAATTTATGTGAGGTCATTAATAAGAATTTAAGTAGAATTCAACTTGTAAATGGTATTTTCCCACCGATTCAGTGTAACTTTCTGAGAATTAATCATAAAGCCGACTTGTCAATGGGCTTTGTTCTGTGAATGCTTAATGATGAATTGATTGATGGAATTGCACAAATGCCGTAGCAGATAAAAGCCAATTTTTGTCAGTGGAGTGTTGCCAGGATTGTGCTGATTGAGTGGATGTGTATTCGCTCATTGGTTCGGAATTGCATCCCTTTGTGCTTTCCAAGCTTTTAGCCGTGTGAAAAGCGAGTGAGCTGGCCGTGAATTGATAAGTGTGGATTGGATTGCATCGATTGGGATTGGATTGGATTGGCGGATGGAGAAACAAGCGCCAGGGGTCCTTTTTCAGTGACGTGGAAACGGGGGAGACGACAGCACGCTACTTGGAGGGAGTATGAGTCATGGTCGTGGCTGGGGGTGGGGTTTTGGGGGGTGGGAACACCCGATTTCTGGTGTTGTTTACATTGCACTGGAGTGGAATGATATATGATGATGATCATCGACATCAACATCAACATCAACATCAAAATCAACAGTGATCAAGGTTACTTTAGGTGGTAGTACCAAACTCGGCGACGAAAAAATCGCGCAATTTCAATCTGGATTTCTTGGGCTCCTCGCGCGGATGATGGACGGTGATCTGGTCGCCGTCGGCTGATATCAATGTCTCGCTGGGCGGCGATATCGAGTACTGTTGCAGCAGTCGGCGCTGCTGTTCGGTGAGCTCTTCCAGCGGATCGTAACTGGCCCCACACCCAGTCTCAGTTCCGGTCCCAGTTCCGGTCCCAGATCCTGAACCCGATCCCGATCCCGATCCCGATCCCGATACCGATCCGTATCCGGATCCAAAAGAGGCCGCCAACGCCGAGTAACTGCTGCTGATTGTGGGCGATGATGCGGAAACGGCGGCTGCGGCGGCTGCCGCTGAAGCGGTGGCCACGGCGGCGGCCGCTCCGCCGGCTGCGGCCAATTGTTGAGCGATTAGCAGCTTCTGGGCGTGCTCTTCGGCCTCTTTTTGCTTTTTAAAGTCTTTCGATGGATACACACATATAGAATATCTATATATATATATAGATTTAAAACGAAAATAAAACTGGGCGGGGAAGGGAAACTTAAACCAAAACCAAAACAAAAACAAAAGCACATAAATAAAACACACAATAGAAAATAGGAAAAGCGAGAGCGAAAATGCCATCCTTCTCGGAAAAGCGAGGAACACGACAGTACGGCAAAGTGCCCTAAAATTCAATTTCAATTTGCAATTTGACAAATGAAATTTTTCTCTGCCGCTGCCGCTGCTGCTGCTGCTGCTTTTACCACTGCCGTTGACAGAGGCTGATGACGCTTCGTAGATCAAAATTAATGACATTTTTTGGGGGACGAAAAACGGGCCCGCAGTGCCATGACCTAGCCCACTCGATGACCTTGACAAATGGTGGGTCTACCACGACCATCTATCCCAATCTCCCCCTTATTGTCATCTGAGAGCAGTACACTACACACACAGTTGTAATTCTGTATACAGAACATCTACCAACAACTATATTTTTCAGTTATTATTTTTCACAATAATTTTTATTTAAATAAACCACAGTTATCACTCAATCAATTACAACTTTAGAAGTTTGTTTGAATATGAATTGGTAAAAAAAAACATTTTTATTTAAAAATGGCTATTATCAATTCTCAATCCTAACAAAATTTTTTAAAATAATGGTGAATAAGTTTAAATTTAGAAAACTCTGATAAATATATTTGCTTCTACTTTTCAGTTATCACTGTAGTTGGGTCGTCATCTTGTCGTACAAAAAAAATGAAAGGGAAAACGAAAAGCAGAATCAGGCGAGGGAAAGAGAGAAACTCGTTGCGGAAACGGACAGAACCGAAAATCGCAATGTTCAAATGCAATTTCCCCGTCGGCCAAAGCCAAAACCCCCACCCCCCCTTAACCCCCACGAAAGCTCCCGGTCTGCCGCATCTTCGACATTGGCTGACACTTGCAAAACGAGACAAGCGCTAAGCGGCTTTAGCAACCCTCGCACACACTAGTAGTTGTGGGCAGCAGGGAAACTGAAATCGAAGCGGAGGGACGGTGCAAAAATGTAAACTATTTAACGCTCTTACGCTTTGCAGGAAGGTTGCATGATGACGACGATGACACAACCCCTGCCACGCTTTCTAAGCCCCCCACGGTAGATATCGGCTATAGCAGACCCCATTGCATCAGTATTATTTGACACCTAAGCACAGTGGATGCGAGTCAAACATTTTTCACTATATATCAGATAATCAATTTGATTTTAGAGGCAGTAGTCTGATTTGATCGATAGCTTTACAAAAATAGTTTTATTTATGAAATATTCAGTGCTATTTTATGCTTTAATAAACCGATGTTTACTGTCTTCCTGATTCGCCGTCACTAAACAAAATAAACAAATCATAACATATGTTAAATTTCATCGTAGGGATCGAAAAAAAATTGGTATTTAACAGCCAAAAATATCTCGACCGATATTCACTGTACCACTAGCGATGGTCGCGTGACACGATCGTGTGTGTTGTCTCCCTGGAACGGTCAGTGGGTCCCCTTTGCAGCTAATCTCCTTATCGAAAACTCATGTGATTTCACTCCTGCACCGGCAATTTCTTGGCTATTTTTTTTAATCACACCCGCGTTTATCAGCTCGATGACGTCATGGGCGTTCGATATAGATATATAATTATTCAGCCAAAAATCATTGGGAAACCGGCGGCGAAAGGGAGATAGCACCACAAACAGCTCGATCACTGTTAGCGTTATGTAAACGCTAATGAGCGTAACAGTATGTCGATGTTGTTGTTGTTGTTGTTGTTTTTCGAGAGGAGCAATGAAAATCAATTAAAACTAATTGATTCAAGAGTCAAATTCAAACATTTGCAGCAGCGGCGGCGGAGAAAGGGGGTTCAACAGAGTAAAAACTACGTTCATTTAAGCGAACAATGTGCAATAATTAGAAAATGCAATCGCTTACACACACTCATACACAAACACACCGATAAACTGGGTTATAAATTAAAATGGGGGTAAGGACAGGGGCGTGGACGAAGGGGGGTGGGACTGGGAGGGAAAATCCAAAGGGGGATCAAAGTGTACTTACTCTCCAGCAGCCGCTGTATCAAACTGTCCACATTCAGATCGAAATCGCCCATTTTGCAGCAGCTAAATTGTTCTTGGCCGCGTTTTGTTGTTGTGGCCAGCTGTTCCAAAATTCCGATTGGAATTTTTGGCGCAACAACTACACGCACACACGCACGCACACAGCGACGCCCGATATACTTAAATACTTTATAGTAAACAACAATTTTAGTTACCAACTGTTGTTTTCGTTTCTTTTTTTTTCTAATATTTTTTCTTATTTGCCGCAAAAGGCAATTTCACTTTTTTATCTTTTTCGGTGGGCCGCTCTAGTTCACTGAATGTTGCACACGAGGAGGCAAAAAACAGAAAAAAATACGCACGGCCGCTCGACTTTCGGGATTCGGAGTCGATCGCAGATCGGTCAGAACAGAGAATAATGGGGACTGAGAAATCGGCTTAACTGAGAATTTATAAACCACCGTAATTTCTATTCTGGTTTTTTCTCCGCCAATAACAAAACTTGTCAGACTCGCCAGCTAGCTGAGTGTGACCGTTCGCTGGAGGGCTGGAAAAGTTTGGAAACATATCGATAGGCGGCCGATAGGCACGTTTAAACCAGTGCTCAGCAACGCGACACTGATATGTCAAAGTGCGTTGTGTCAAGCGCGTGACATTTAAACTTTTTGCTTGTCACTTACCTGAAAATTATTCAACGATTCAGTCGTCCTGCATATTTTTGTGCTCGATTTACTTCTGAAATCACTCGACTAATTCCTTGTTATTTTCTAAATTCCAACCGATACCCTCAAGCTTAACGAGATGCTAGCAGAGAACGCTTTTGTGGTTTTTATTGTCGCAAACAAGGAACAACTCCTATTGGCCTTGCTTCTCGTCTTGATATCCGGCTTGATGACGTTCTGCGAATTGGATACTGCAATCGCAGAGTACTTGGTCCAACTGCTTAACCTTGAATGGGAAGGACGCACATGGAGCCATTTTACTGCGATCCTTGCTGCTGTATTGGCCCTTCTTCTGGTTCTCGGAGCTTTAATTCTTCAACGGCGATTCCGCATCTACAACACCAACCGCTTGGCCTAAGGATACACCACAGGATTGGGACACTAGCTTGGCGGAGGGGCGAAATGATCAGACAACATTGTTATACCGGCGAGCTTTCAAAAATCAAAATTTGATGATTTTTGAAAAGTCAACAAATATTCCATGGGCAACAAATAGAAAAAATATGTTAATTTATTTACACAAACATTGTTGGTATACACACATACTATTTATAAGTGTATTAAAAATGTTGTCTGATTAACAACTTTCGAAAACGTTTTTTATATATATTATATTTTGGTAATTCCGTATAATTATAATCCGCCGCTTTCGAGCACTAGCATATGCGGATTCGGTATTTTTGCCACCCTCGCATTTCGTCCGCTGATTCTGCAGCCCTGGCAACCGCGCAAAAATGAACGACTCGAGTTTACAATCCATAGAGATAACAGTTTAGCCGCCGGAATGAACTATTTCCCGAACTACTACTCCATCGAGGACATCTTCGTGACCCAGGAGAAGGTGGAGTGCCGGGTGAACACGAAGCTGCAGCGGATGGGTGAGTGACATGCGAGGAGTAGTGCTTTTTTTTTTTTGGGTGCCCACTTAATGCAAATCCCCGGTGGCTTGCAGGCTTTCTGGACTCCGGCGCCGATACGGATGATTTGGAGCCCGGGCGCACGGTCAACCTGCCGCTCTGGTACATCAAGGAGCTGAAGGTGAACAACGCCTACTTCACCGTCTCCGTGCCGGAGATCTACCGCAACGTGCACAAGGCCGTCTGCGAGGCGGAGACCACCCACATCGAGCTGGGGCGCCTGCATCCGTACTTCTATGAGTTCGGCCGCTACCTGACGCCCTACGATCGCAACCACGTCATCGGGCGCATCATCTTTGAGACGCTGCGACAGCGGGTGCGCCACTTGCTGGACATCTCCAAGAGCGACGGCCAGGCGGCCAAGGCGGAGCACCGGCTGGACAACATAGAGGCCAAGCTCCATGAGGCGGGTGTGCGCACCAACAGCCAGGTGGGCAAATGAACATCTGGAATTGCAACCTTACTACACAAGTTCGCTCATTTACAGTACATCGAATGGCTGCAGATGACGGGCAACAAGATCCGGACATCGGTGCTGGTCGAGGAGCACCAGAAGAAGCGGCGGCGGGCGGATCGCAGCGATGACGAGGGCGAGGTCCTGCCCAATAGCAAGCGGGCCACCTTATGATCCATCCCGGCATCCGGAAAACTAGTAAACTACTCCAGGCAGATGTCTTGGAACTGTAGCAACTTTATTTCGTCCATTCTTTTGGTGGCCACATGGCAGCCGCCATACCTCTCAAAAATACACTTCATCTACGCACACGGCTACGTCCGTTTGTACAGTTTAAAAGTACAATGGGATCGCATACATCTACACATAACTAAGCCTCCGATCTGGAGCTGCCGGTCTTAAACTACTCTCCTTGGAGCTGCCGGTCCAGTTCGCGCGCTTTCCATATGGACTTGGCAATAAGCCAAACAAACTCGCATCCTTATGCGACATTGCGCCACATTATTACATATAAATAGTTAACTACATATATAATTATAATCTTGTAAGCTCAATTAAAATTTGATTTTGTGCTAGTTTCACATACATTTCACAAATAAACATTCACCAATGTCAGCATACATAGGTAGTAGTTCGTTAAAAGCAACCAATAGGACTTATATATTTCAGGGACCGTAATGCGTATACATTTTCTAGCCTTTGGGCTGTGTTTTCAGAAGAGTTTTGGAAGAGTTCTCAACGGAAATGTCATTTTTAGACTTGGTTAACTAAACAAACTAATGTATTCGTTATTGGTGGTCAAATAAACTCCTATTTGTTCCCGTCTTATAAAACTCCATTTTTTTTAATTAAATTTAAATAATGGATTGTCCAAAAATATATTCATTTCCACAAATGTAAAGTTTTATAAAAGGGTATCATATTATATCAAATCAAGTAAATCAAAATACGTATACAATATAATTGTTTTTTCTCTTCATATTTCTGTGGGGAATTACATGATTGAGGTGTAGGTACTGTATATTTTATTTGGTTATGATATACTTAAAGATTGACTGCATTTTTTTTCTTTGGGCTGCTCCTAGTTAAACAAACATGTAAAACATATAGTGTACAATGTTTGATTCTTTTTTGTTTTGTTTGTCTTGTTTTGTTCATCTCAGAAAACACAAAAGTTGTTTTACGGTCCCCGGATATCTATATATTCTTTGATCACTATACAATCGATCAAGGCCGGCAAATGCAAATGCAAGTGCAGTATTATATGCGCATCGAACATTCCTAGTTATACATCTGGCCAATCTTTTTGGCTTTAATATGCTTTTCAGTTATCTTCGCTATTAATATTTCTAACAGGTTATGTCATTAGCACAAGCTTGCGATTAATAACATCGATTTTGTGGATATAGCAAGAATTGAATGCAACATTAAATTGTTTATGGTTTAGGGGGCTTGCTTCAAAAAATAAGCAACTTAGTTTATTCGCTTCATCTGCATTTGGTTTTAGTTTTAGTTTTCGTTTTTGTTTTTCTTTTCGTTTTTGTTCTTAGTTTTTTCATGTTTTTTGTTTGTTTTGTTTTGTTTTGTTTTGTTTTAGTAAATTATGTCTTTTTAAAACTAAACATCTGTCCCTGGTCGCATTGTTTTCTGTAATCCTCTCTCGATTCCGGTTCCGTGTTCAATATCCGTCCGTCCTGACGCGTCTGTCTTGTGGGTTGAGGGTCCGGGTCCGGGTCCTTGTTGTATAACTAATTGTTAAAAATGTATAAACAATAGCAAGATCTCCGCAAAAAATGGAAGCGGCTGGAACTGTGCCTCAAAATAAATACATGGATACAAACAAACAGGTTACAATTTGCACTAGTTTTTGCCATTAACGAGGGCGGTGGGGATGGGCGTGGCCGCTATCGTGGCCTGAAGATCGGCGTTGGGCGGCTTTCGCTTCTGCGGCAGAAAGACCTGAAAAACACAAGGACACACGAAAGTGAGCGGGACAGAATAATATAATATAATAGAATGTATGCCATTTATATTGTTAATAGTAAGTTATTAAAAAACTGTTTCAAAACGGTTTTTTGTTATTAAAAAAAAGGAATTTATTTTAAAAATCTATAGAAAATTATTTAATAAATGTTTTAAAGTCGTTTCAATATAAATGTTAAGATTTTTATTTTATTTCTTACAATATAACAGTCTATATTAAGAGCATCACTGTTATTAAAGGCTTGTGAAATAAAAGTCATTACTAATTTTATTTTGATATAACTTTGAAAATATAAATCAGTCAGTGATTTTAATATTTTTGTCATCAAGAAACAAAATTAAAAAAAACTACTTGTATTTGAATAAATAAGGACTTTTTTTAAGTGATAGATGTCTCAGGCAGATTTTTATAATTAATGTTTATCTTTGACAGTCTTTAATAATTTAATTTAATATTAAAGTCCGTCATAGCAGATTGAAGAAAATATAATAAACCATGTTTTATGAAAATGATATCTACTGCTACTATTAACAACCCGTTTTCCTAATTTCCTTCCTAATTCTTTCTAATATTTTTTTATCTAAGTTAGTTGTGTGCTGGGGGGCAGAGAGATCGCTCACCTTGAGGGCCCCCAAGACCATCAGGTAGAACCAGTAGAGCTGTGGCAAGAACAGAATGGCGATGCTGACGAGGCAGCCCCGCGGCAGCCCGCACATGGCCGCCCACATGGAGGCGGCCTCGATGGCCAGGCTGTAGCGCCACATCACGTACGGCCACATGCAGACGCGGCACACGAAGAAGGTGGCCAGCATGAGCAGTCCGTTGGCGATGTACACCCGCGAGTCCTTCAGCCGCATGGTGCTCAGGATGCTGCGCAGCGAGACGAACGGCGTGGAGAACTCCATCATGAACATGTAGCTGTAGATGCAGTGCCCACCGCCGCGGATGTACTGCAATGGAAATAGATTTGGGATAAGTATGCGACTATTGTATTTGGGCGTGATTACACTATATAGAGTGCCATAACGCCCACAAATGTTAATGCATTTCCAACAACTCAATAGCGCCTTTTCACGCTGTGATATATTAATTTGCAAAAAAAAAAAAAATGTATTATGATCATGAAATCAATATTTTTATGTAATCAACTATATATATTTTTTTTCTAATATTCAAAACAAAAGAGGGCAATAAAGGCTGTTAGTCAGTTGCACTTTTTTTAATGCAATATACTTGCAGGCGTTATTGCACCAGGCGTTGTAACATGGACCTATAGATTTTATATCGCCCTTAATAATACTATGATACAAAATGTGATCTTTTAGTTTTTACATAAATTAAATAATACTTTTATAATGGATTCGAAAATGTTCCACCACATCAGCGTTTTTTTTAGAAACTATAACTCAAAGTTGGAAAATGATTTATTTCGATAGTTATTTAACCTCATTAACAGGAGACAGATTCTCTTTTTAAATTCTTTAACAACTAGTTTAGTTAAGAGGAATTAAATATATATTTTTTAAATTTATGTTGAATTTCCTCATTTCTTAAACAAATAATTTGTAATTCATAGGTATGAAAAACGAAGTAGTCGTACTTTTCTACTTATAGCTCCACTAGATTAAATCTTTTATTCGTATTGAAAACATGAATCCCTCTCCTTGTTATTGCTGCACAAAAAATGAAAAGAATTCAAATATTTTGAGTTCGAGGTTAATTTTCTAAAACGCTGACGTGCAGGAGCATTTTTGTGGCCAGATTTTAGAAAACACATTTTATATAACACAGTATAACTACTATATACGACTTGGTCTTACCGTCACCACCAGCAGGCCGAACGTGCCGATAAAGACGTGGTGAATCATCATGACCGGGTGCGTAAGGACATACTTGAGGAAGTCCCAACGTCCGTCCTTGGGAATCTGGACGCAGGCGCCGTCGTAGTCGCAGATCTCGTGTGGGGTGCCCGGGGTGCTGCCGTTGTTATTGCCACCCGAGGTGGGACGGGACTGCCCGTTGACCTTGCCGTTGGCGTGGCCATTGCTCGTCGGCGCACCCGCCCCCGCCCCCTGACCCTTGGTGATGCGCAACAGGTGCAGCTTGTCGGCGATCTTCTGGGTGTGCACCTTGTACATCGACCAGATGTCGTACATAAAGTAGGCGGTGCCGAACCAGCCGTAGGCCTCCATCAAGAAGTGCGACGCATAAACGAAGGACTTGGTGCACGTCGACTTGCAGACGATGAGTCCCACGAGGAAGGAGAAGGAAGCCTGGATGGCCGAAACGATTCTGAAAGCAATTAACAACATTTGGAGACTATTAAATATATATGCCTGGGAAAATCAAGTAGGAGCTATTACAGCTAAACCATATATTATCAGAAAGAATTGCTCCTCTATTAACCATTTTGAAAATACATTTTTTCTTCGGCAGGTGTCGCCAGCAAATTTTGAGTGGCGAGCGATTAAGTCAAAAGCGTCATCTGTTGGGAAAAAACATACATAGATGAAGGATAACCATACTGCTTGCAGTGACGTCACTGAATTCTTAATTACTTCTGACTAGCTTGTTCGATTTGGAAAATGTTTGGCATGTCGATGGATATAGACCCCATAAATATAAGCTGCTTAATAACTGGCCTCTACAACATCTTTACAGAGCTTCTCTATACTCAATGAATAAGAAACCTTTTCTCCAAATTTCATATTGCTTATCCTCTAAAAGTTGTAATCTAGCACGTATTATTAATTTTATTGCCATTTATTAAAGCAAATGAGATCGATCATCATCTGCGGCATGATGCCATGTCGTATATTCCATATTTGGCGTTAGTTATTACAGACAATCGACTTAAAATTCAACTAGACCTTCTGATTTCGACATAACATAATATATATTCACAGGAAATAATTCAAAATTTTTGGTAACCAACTGGAAGACGTCATCCCATCCGCAAATATAAGAAAAAAAAAAACAAAAAACAATAACTGAAGTCCGAACCGAAAACCATCCAGCCCCCCATCTACATCCTCATCCCTAGTTCAAGCCACCGGAAATGGAGCCGTGTGATCGCGGACCGGAGAGGGTCATGCGGCAGTACCTGTCCCAGCTGCTGGAGACCGGCACCACCCGCTCCACGGGCTGCCTGGACCGCTTCCTCGTGAGGGGCATGACCAACTTCCCACCGCCACAGCCACAGCCGTCGTCCATCGAAGGCAAGGCATCGCGCTGCTCCCTCTTCGAGCGGCTCCTGTGCGGCGGAAGTCGAAAGTCGGAACGTCTGCTGGTGCCCGATCTGGCCACCGAGTGGTTCCGCAAGCAGAAGGTCTTCCTGGACAGGCTCACGCCGAAGGAGCTGGCCGCCCTGAGCGCTGGACTGGCGGCGGATAAGGGCAGCGACTCTCTCGCTCGCCAGCAGGCAAGTTCAGGCCTTGCAGGCCAAACGAAAGATTCAGATGGGGGGCCAGTGAGCAAGGTGGCCACATGTCTGCCCGCCACGGAGTCCAGAAGTCAGGGTAATCCCTTTCTGATCGGCAAAAGCGCAAAGGAGGAATGTATCCCAATGCGTAGCGAGAGTCCACGGCGCTGCAAGAAGCTGCACGGGCGAGGCAGCTGCTCCTGCCTGCGGAGTCGAGGAGCAGGTGCCACGACTGACGACTGGCCCTTCCAGGCCGATGGACAACCCATGGCCGGCGAGTGTTTGGCGGCACGCCGGACGGAGCCGCTGCTGCCGCGCCTGCGCCGCAAGTTCGACTTGCGACAGGCGCCGCAACGGCGTCTCGATCCGGCCCTCTTCCGCCGCATCTCGCCGGAGTTCTTCCGCATCCTGGCCAGCTACGAGGCGGCCATGAGCGAGGTCTGTCCGCTCTACGGCATCTCCATGCAGCACTGGGGCGAGACGACGGCCTGTTGTCCGTGCGAGGAGCACTCGCACTTGAAGTCGCGCTTCCTGGGCGACGATGCGGTGGCGGCCGCTGCCATTGTGCCACCCACATGGCCGCCAGTTGAGTCCCGAGGAGTGCCAGAGAAGGAGCCACCCGCTAAGAGGCAAACGGAGAAGAGAACTGCAAGATTCGTCAAGGACCAACCGGATAGGGAAAAGAAGACCTACAGCAAAGACACCGGCGCCAATGAATTCAGTCACCTGGATAAGGAAAACGAGAATAAGTCCAGGGATGAGCCGATTTCTTCCGAGGATGAGCGGCAGAAACAAAGGCGTACGAGGCATGACTACAAGCACCCACAATTTCTGGTTCACTCCGACGACGAGCGGCAGGATCCCAATGTCCAATCCCAATCGTCCAATCCCGCCGAGAGTCGTCGGTCGGTGGATCAGCAGCGGCGAAGCCTTGACCACCAGGTCAGCAGGCAGTCGGACGACCAATCGAGCAATCTCCCCGAGAAACGGAGGAAGTTCGGCAGTTGCTTCCGCCGGCCAAGACAGCCATATGGGACGGCCTCTGTTTCCTCGAATATCGCTCCGCCACCTGCTCACTCACTAGTTGATTCGCCTGCATTTAAACCGGTTCAGCCACCTCATTCAACTGCTCATTCAACTGCTTATCCAACTGCTCATTCAACTGCTTATCCAGCTGATCATTCAACTGCTCATTCAACTGATCATTCAACTGCTTCTCCGCAAAATGTAATGACCGAAAGCGAGCACCAGCCACCAAGCAAGGGCATTCTCGGCGGATTCACCGGCATGTGCAAGCGATGCATGGAGCCGGGTCGCCACCTGTTCTACAATTTGAACGCCAACTACCACCAGAACCGGGAGAGATATGGCCAGATGCGTCAGAACAGAAAGCGGCAAAAGGAACGGGAACGGGAGCGGCAACGATTGACCGAGGAGCAGGTGGACAGGGACAGCAGCACCACGCTGAGACCCTCCGACCCACCCGAAGTCGGAACCCAGACGGAAATAGTGGACAGCGAACAGACCCTGGCCTTTCGCACGCCCGCAAGCGAACGAACTTTGGCGGAATCGAACCAGGGAGCAATGCTACCGTCGGCGGAGACATCTGTGATGGCGACACAATGCCAGGCGGACTGCCAGTGTGGACTGCCCCAGGAGGCCTTCCAACTGCCGCCCGTCTGCAGGTGCACTTGCCCGACGGAACAGCGGGAACATCGGCGAAGCACCAGAGTTCCCAGAAAGTCCCCCACCGAGACGGACTACTCCAAGTGTGGCCAACGGGTTCGGGCCTGCTATTTGGCCAATGATTTCCACCAGTTGATGCGGCGCGTGGCCAAGAAGAGACCAAGACCTATCACTCAAGTTCCGGGAAGACCCAAAACCAAAGAGCAAGCTGCCAGGTCAGAGGAACCAGCCCCACTGCCAAATCCTGCAGCCCAAGTAAAAGTACCAACCAAGTCCAAAAGGAAACCAAAACCAATGGTCATTGCATCACAGCAGCCGGAACAAAGTTCAACCAAGCACTTGAACGTCACCTATGCGGCCACCGGAATTCCCAAGATGCAGAAGGTCAGGAAAAAGAGAGTGCAGTCCTCAAGGGAAGCCTCATCGCGAAGTGACATTCCCTCGGTGGGATGCCAACCCCAAGAGATGCCAAGCGGCAAACAAAAGGAAGGCCAAAGCTGCACCTATTCCCCTAAGCCCAGTAATAGGAAGCCATACACTTTACAAGGAGGATCGCCAAGAGCCCCATCCCCAAGGAACAAGCAAGAAGCAAAGGTTAGTGGCCCCCGGGAACGTCGTCCGAGGAATTGGCGGCCAGATCCCAGGCCATCCAATTGGAGTGCAAGCAAAAGGCGGAGTCAGAGGAGGGCACCTTCGCGCTGCTCCTCCGCCAGTTCCTCTGGACGATCGCATCCAGAGGCGTTCAGTGCAGTGAGTGACTACTGCCAGTCGAAGGCGAGCTGCATTTCGGGAGCTCCAGCTGCAACCAATTGGTCGCCATCGAAGAGTCGAGAGAATGCTTCAAAAATGCAGGAGCGCCGGCAGAGCCCCCAATCCAAATCCTCCTATGCTCCATCCTCCGATGCCTACTCCAGTCAATATTCAAGACGGTGGCAACAAGAGGATCAGTACCAATGCTCGAACTGGAAGTCGGACAACGCAAAGCCACCGAACCAATGGCAAGCTCCCCTGTTTCCGGGTAGATTCAGTTGGGTAGATCCCACCAGAGCACCCTCGCATTTGGAGACGGGTCGTCGCTACTACACGGACACACAGGAGCCGAGACGGCAGTGCAGCTGTCGCTCCCTGCGCTCGAAGAGCTCCATCCGGGCACTCAGTTCCAACACGGACAGTGTGCGGTGTCCCTGTGCTCCAGCTCCATCGGTGGCCAGTGTGGACCCACCCCTGGAGCTGCTGAATGCAGCGGAGGAGGAGGAGAAGGAGGAGGAGCAGTGCTATTGTTACGACTATCATCCTCAAACTTCAGACCAACAACCCATGGAGAACACATATCTCCAGCCCTTCACCAACCAATCCCCACAAACTTGTAACTGCAGCCGGACCAAACCAGCTTTATTCAGTAACGCTCTGAGGTGGGAGCCACAACAGCACCACCATGCCCGCACCCTACTGCGCACCCAACGACCTCCGCCCCAGAAACACCCACAGTACTACTCAAGATACCATCAGTATCCAGCTGAGAACTTGGCAGTGCCACAACAACAGAGCAGGGAGTGGGTTCCAGAGTACCAAGCCCACAATCACTGTGCATGCGATACTAACCAAAGATGGGAGGAGCTGGTGGAAAACACGCCACACTACACGGAGCAGCACTACCCAATGCAGGGGATTCAGAACGATGATGACCTAAGGCATTACCCCTATCCCAGGCAAGCCAATAGCTTCGCCAGGCAGGGAAGGGATCGAGCTGGAGCCATTACTGCCGCAGCTCAGGGACTTCGTGGTCTGGTGAATGCTTTGGGGGGAAGTCGGCATAGACCGCGACACAATCACAATCCTAGAGAAAGCCATCAACAACAAGATTATTACCACGAAACGACAATCGATCCCAGCGTGGTGCCCAGCCAGCAAAGTGTTCGATATGATGAAGAACAAGTGGAACAGGATCGCAATCAACCAGATTACAACTGCAATCTGCCAATGGAGGCAGCATCTCAGATGCCTCCATGCAGTTCGACCTCGCTGCCCAGAAACAACTACTCCAATTTCAACCTCTACTCAAGGAGGTCCAACAAAGGAGGTGAAAGTAACTACTACTTGCCCGCGGATGGAATGCCCAACAGCTATAATGACCGACGAAACATGGATGGGGAACAATCATTTAGAGCAAGGGAAGCTGAAAGATCGTCTCAGTTCCGTTTCTTTGGCTCTGAAATGGATTCCCACAGGAGAACGACTTGCATTCCCAAAAGAGGACGGCAAACTGGAGGAGCTTCACCTCTTGTCGATGAGCCTCCTAAAACGACCACGCCACTGGCCATTTTTCTGGACAGTTTGAGAGCGAAACGTGCTGCCTCTGAAATTGTGACTAAAACGGCACAACAACCGGAGTCCAGAAGAGTCACCACCCTGGGAAAAACTCTGGCCAAAACTACACCAGTACACTGGAGCCACGGCACCTCGTCCGCCAGTGATGATGACGCGGATGCGGATGACTGCCTGGACTTGAGGCACAGGCGGATGCGCTGTCCCGCGCAGGAGACCATGGTCTTTCCATCCACCTACACGGGACTCCTGGAGGAGCAAATCCTCGACGAGTATCTGCCCAGGCCGCGATACAAGCGCAGGACATAGGTAGAAACCCAATTTCTCTATGCTTCACAATTACTTGAGGTCAAATTGTAAGCAAAGGCAATAGAATATAAATAAATGTGGAATAAAGTTTAAAGTTAAGTATTATTTTAGTGAAAAATACGTGGTGTGCAACTTATCACAAAAACGTGATGATAAAAAAGAAAAGGAATTTACAAATTCATTTCGTTTGCGGCTTCACAGAAATACAACTAAACTTATTTTTTGTACTCCTAGTTACTCATTTCTTTTCAAATAAATTTAAACAATACTTCGGCACTAAGTTTCCAAAATTTGTATTTATATGAAGTGGATTACTAACCTTATGAATAATAGTTCTCAAGATATTAAGTTTAAAAATACTTCAAGACTGAGGTCATAATCTCGTATTTATGTGATGATGTATTAAGATCCCAAACTCGAATTTTTGTTAAAGTGGATTGTGAATGATATATTATATATCATAAAATCTAAATTGCCAACCTTACGAATGATAGACCTGCACTGGTTTTCCTGCTAATCATTCCCCAAAAGGTAATTAAAATAATTTCTAAAATTTAGCAACCTATCAAAATCGTTAAAATAGAGTGTTGTTTAGTTAGCTAACTTTTCCCCTTTCTTTTAGTTATCCCATTTGGAACTTGATCCATTTATAAATCATAGACCATAGTAGGTGTCGAACCATCTGTCATTGTTATTTTTCGCCTTTAGCACTCATTATGTTAGATTATCAAACAAAAATTAATCAAAATCGTTTTTAACCATCGAACAAAAGCCCACACAGTGTAAATTTAAGATCAGCTAAAATTCCCATTCGACCAAAAGAACGTCATCAAAATTTACAGCGTAAGTGCAATGGCAATGTCAACATTTTTGGGCGGCACTCGTCGCAATCCGCCGGATCGATCGAAGATAATCAAGGCCAAAAAGCCGGAGGGCAAGCGAGTCACCGGATCGTCGGGCGGTGAAGGATCAGGAGGATCGGGTGTTGGAGCTGTTGGTGGTGCTAATGGATCAACATCCGCAGCCAAGCGCAATTGTGGACCACTGAGTGGGGCAAGGGCACCCAAGAGGACTACGGCGGTGCCAACCGAATTAAGCGGTGTCCTGCCCAAAAGAGCAACTGGCGGTGGTGGTGGTCCGACTAGAACACTCCAAACAACGGCCACATCCACGATGCGTCGTAGACAAGCACCTCTGGCTTCGGTTCCGGTAAGGATTCCCGCTCCCCGTCAAATAAACGAAGTGAAGTGGATCATGATGCCGTCGCCGACATTCGTCCCGTGCAGCGAGACCTCCTCCTCCGAGGACAACAGCCTGGAACAGGCCAAAATCAATGAACAGGATGTGGATGTGGATGTGGATGTGAATGTGGATGTGGATCTGGAGAGGAGCAGCAGCAGTGGGCGGTTGGAGAAGGTGCACCAGCTGGAGGATCTGTGCCAGGTGACTCCGGCCAAGACGAAGGTGCGATGCTCGCGCATATTCTGTGTACCCAGCCAGCGAATCATGCACGAGGAGGAGCTGCTGCAGGCCCAACTGCGCCAGATGCATCCGCGGCGGACGAAGACTTCCAACTGGCCGTCCAGCAGATTGCCCCCTCAACTGATCAGTAGTGACTCCAGGAATCCTCCCACTCTCAGTCGTGTGCCGTCGCAGGAGGATCTCCTAGATGCTTCCAAAGCCGAAGCCCTGATACAACCCGATGCCATCGAGGCCACAGGCATGATCTCCTCCGCTCCCAGTCCAAACGGCAGTCCAAGTCGCAGTCTGAGTCGCCTTCAGAGTCCAAGGATGAGCACTAGCCATACCAGAAGTCCTGGTTCCAGCTCACACCCAGCCACGAATCCAAGCACCCAGAGCAGTAGTCTCAGCAGTAACAGCAGCATGCAGGAAGTGCAGAGCGTCATCCAGCAGGGAAACAAGGCCATCAAGCTGACCTCGACGGTGATCAAGATCATGCCCACCAAAGTGAAACAGGAAATTCCCAAGGAGAAGAAGAAGTTGCCAAAGCCGCCACAAGTCAAGAAAGGACAGGCGGTGACTGGCCAATCAGTAATAGCGTCCCCAAAGTTCACTCCGCGGGTTCAGGTGATCAGCCCCATTAGTCAGTCGGTGAATTATGTGGTCAATCAACTGACGGCTCAATTGAAAGAGGCCGCAACGATGCCGTCAAAGGACAGGGATAAGTCATCCAAGGGAGATGCGCATCAGGTCTGGCCATCGAAGGTTCCTTCAAGCAGGCCTTCCATTTATCTGCTCATGAATCAGCCAAAAGATCAGTCCGCTGAGTCAGCAAACAAAGTGCAGTCCAAAGATGGATGGCTTATCCAACCAATGGAGCCACCAAAGAAACCATCTACAAGTTTGCATAGAGATCAGCCAAGGAGTCAAGCAGGCAAACAGCAGACGAATCCTAGCGCACAACCCAGGCATAATTTGAGTAGATATATGAATGATCCAAGGAACATGGAAGGAAATCAATCTCAAAACCAGTCCACAAGTCCACAGTCGCCCGGTTTGTCATCTCTAAATCCATCAACGAATCCATACATTCCGAGGGCATCCAAAGCGAAGCGAGCACCTCCAGCTACATTCGGCCAGTCCGTTTCGGTGAACCGGACCAGCCGGCCGGCCACATCCATCGCACGTCCGTATGTGGCACCACCGCCTCTGCCTCCGCCTCCGGTGGCGCAACCGACGGATGCCCCAACAACTGGCGGCCGGATCGTGCGGAAGGAGCAGCACAAGGTGCCGCGCACCATGGAGGATGGCATCGATACGAGCTACCAGTACTTCGTGTCCATTCCCCTCAAGCGCGGCAAGAAGCCGCAGGTGGTGCGCTACCTGTACCGTCCGATGGTGCGCCAACTCAACGCACCCACCACGACGTCGTCCATGCGTCGCCGCTCCTTGCGGCGGGCGAAGAGGAAGCGAGAGGCAGCTGGCGGAGATGGGGAGCAGACAGCGGCAGATGGGAAGGCGCCAGAGATGGATCCGACTCTGGGGGCTCTGGGTGGAATGCCCCTACCGCTGGAGGATCCACCGAAGGCCAAGGAAACATTAGTGATAGACCCGGTGGCAGCGCTCAATGCGCCGTACGAGGTGCCACCACTCAAGCTGGAGGCCCGTTTCAAGCCCATGATGGAGCGGCTGGCTGAGATGCCGTATCCCGAGGATCAACCCCACCATCATCGTCGCCGTCGTCGTCGTCGGCGCTCCAATCGCCTAGCCCGCGCCGCCGGTGGCGACGAACAGTTGGCTCCAACAGAGCATCACCTGGCCACTGGAGGTGGCGGCGATGCCATCAATGCAATGAATGCAATGCGCTCCACGGGACAGGAGTCGTCCGTGTGGAAGCCCAGTTGCCGCCGGCCAGCGCTGGTCAACTATCGACCGGAAGCCAATCGTTTGAGCACAGCCACCGGAGCTCCGATCTCCTATCATCCGCCGGTGCAGTTTATGGAGGCTGGAGAGGATGGCTTCATGCTTCCCGGCGAGCCCATGATTCAGGCCATTACCTACGATGATATTGAGCAGCAGGAGAAGCAGGAGCAGCCGGAGCACCAACTGGAACAGATTGATCAACTGCTGCTGGATCTTTCGCCAGGAAAACGCCAACAGGGAGCCACTGTCGTGGCGAAATCAGTGAGCTTTCATCCCGGCGAGGTGACAGTAAGTGAAGCCCCCACCAGGAGGAGCAGCTCCATCAGCATCGGCTCCACTTCGAGCAGCTGCTGCGACGGGAGCAAGTCCAAAGGGCGACGGGCCACACGGAAGAGCAAGGTCACGTCCATGGGAAAGGTCAAAAGTCGCAGGTGAAGGTGAAAAAGTGTGCCCCCGGAAATTGATTGATTGATCATTGATTTACGTAGCCCACTAGATAATTGGATTTTTTTTTTAATTATTGAAAATTTAAAAGAGAAACAAAATTTTGGTAAAACTCACATCATAATCTTTAATAGAAATAGGTTTGTAATATAAAAATCGTTTTGTAAAATTAAAAAAAAACTGTTTCAATCATATTGCTCAACATATGGGTACAGAAGTGTAAGCAATCGCGGAGTTCCATTCTCTACCCAATGAAAAATATTGTAGTGAAGTAAACTAAAACTTTAATATGAATAGGTTACAAACCTCCAAAAACTATTTTTGTAAAATTAAAAAATCAATTTCAATCATAATTGATTGATTTGAGTAACGTATTTCATTGTTAAAATTAAGGAAAGCCTGAAATGCAAAAACAAACCACTTTAGCCCACTTTCTAAGACACTAAAAGCGTAAAACCTACGCTAAAAAATGTTATTACTTAAGAAATAGTAATAGAAATACTATTCCAACATAAAAACTTGCACACCAGAATGTTTATTCAAGTCCACTTATATATTCTCATGGGCCATACATTTTCGACCGGAGCGTTCACAACCCAATGATGGAGGCGGCGATGACTTCATCAGGCGCACCTGCAAAGGTCAAGGGAGGTGGGAGAGGGTCAAGGCCCTGCTGGGGCGATTGCTCAATGTCAGGATGTTGGTCATTAGCGCAAGAACTGGGGCACAGAGCAATAGGAAGCGATAGCCCTACCCTCGTGATAATGGGACTCATCAAAATAGCTTTGAATTACGCTTAAGTGGCTCGGAAATAATAGAATTGGTCGATGTTTTAATATTATTAAGTGTTTAGTTTATTTCCATTACATACTTTTTGTTCTGTCTGGGCTGTTACGTAACTTTCTGATATATGTATATATATATATATATAAACATATATTATATATGATTATAATTGAAAATAATTGTATTCCATTTGTTTGTTTGTTTATTTTAGACTTTGTAGCTTCAAAAAGATTCTATTTTTTATAGCCTTTCATTCCCATTTATTTCTATTGCAGATAGTATATAAACTGGAAGAGGTCGGATCGGGCAACTATAATATATAGATCCCAAAGGAACAAATACGAATATATTTCGAGACTTTAGAATTACGTTCTAAATTATATGAAAACCGGACAACGATAGGAAAATTAATCGAAAATCGATATATCTTCATTGCTTTTATACACATCGAAATATAGTCGTTCTATAGAGTTTTTTATTTTTGTAATTTGAGCAAGTGTATATAAACTTCGGCTGGCAAAAGTTTGCTTTCTTTTTTAATTTGTATTATTTTTATTATTTTATTTTTTTCTATATATTTTAGTTATTCGTTTGCAAATGTGAGTGAATATTGATATTAAATCTCTCTTATATTTGTCTTCCACAAACCTATGGCTTGTGCCCCACATGCCTACGCAATCAATTAGTCAGACGTGATTCCGACTGGTGCAAAGTGATCACTTAACCTGGACGCACCCTCCCCAATGCCTCACCCTGCCTGCAGCGCCCCTGGAAGAAGCATTCAATCGAACCCAGCCCAACAGAACCGAGGCAAAGTGCCCACATCGAATGCAGGCATTAGTTCCAATTAGAAGCGCCGCCGGTTCTACCTAATGTTTGGCCCCAAAGGTGTCAATGTGCTGCCTGCGCACATACAAAGTATTTACTACATGGGCATGGGCATGGGCATTGGCATCGGCATGGGCATAGGTGCTTTTCTGGGTTGGGTCTTTTTGGGCAATGGCATGCGAATCGAATGTGATTTAGATATCGGTTACTGGGTCGTCGGACATCGCCCGCAATCCAAAACAAGCGAGCGCCAGAACCCAGCTAGCTGGAGGTATAACACAAAAAATAGCCTCAACTATGTATGTCCAATTAAGACTTATGGTTGAATGTCAAGGGCCGGCGGTAGGAATAGTTTCCCGCAAATTGTTTACATAGAGGAGGTCTCACCTTCACTAAGCATCTAACGACATGCCGCTTATCAGCGACAGATGCACTCGCTCACCCAAATCGATCGATTGGGCCGATAGGAAGACCCAACCAGACAGACCCGGACGGAACAGATAGGAGGCGACAGATAGCAGATTGTGGACTGGCAGTCGTTAGTCCACAAAGTCAAAGCACCGGACTGATTGCCTTATCGGCGACGTGGTTGTGAAGTGCGTCCGTTGGACTTACAACGATCGTGGGGAAGCAATTGCCAGCCAGCCAGGAAATTGGGTCGGCTGGTGGGGACTTCAATGATTAAATGAGTACGCCATACAGGTCATACAGAAGATGCTGAAAGACAGCTTGATTTGCAAAGATTTGCCGAGAAAGTGCTTATTATTGCATGATCAAAGCCAGTTATAACCAGCCCCGACTAAGACACACTCACTGCACATTTACAAAAATATATATATTTACTAAAGTCCATTTTATCAAATTCGACTATAGAAGATGTGTATATTTAAAAAAAAAAAATTAAAATTCTTTTGATTCTTAAAAAAAAAAAATAATGCATTTATAATGAACTTTTCTGTCAGCTATAGAGTTAATAAAAATCAAGAAACATACATATTTCCTAATATTCAAATATCATTTGTTTGGGAAAAATTTAATCCGTTTTATCAAATTCAAATATTGCTTAATAATTAATGCATATCTCAGGTTTATTTTTGCCAGCGAGTGACTTAAAAAAATATCAAGAAAACAAACATATTTCCTAATATTCAAATATAATTTTTATGGGAATAATGTAGGCTACTCATACATAATAAAATAATAAAACATTAGCACAACTATTTGACTTTCAAATAAAATTTTACTAGAAATGCGATCTAATAACAAATGGTAAAGATATTATTATATTATTTTAAATCTTGAAGCCAGAATAAACCCAAAAATCGGTGATACCCCTTCTAAAGGGAACGCGATAGAAAGCATGTGATGTGCGCTTATCCGAGTTTATGGCAGTGATGAAATAGATTGAGCCAATTCCCATCCAGAGATCGGGTTGTATAACACCTGAGCACACACATATAGCTATAATATATGAAGCGGCACTCTCTGTTTCATCATGACAAGTACATATGTAATCGCAGGGGAGGAGGAGTGGAACTCAATTTGAGCGCGCTAAACAATTCTACACACACACACAGTTTAATTAACACTTTGGGCTGCGGGGAAAATAGTTGGGCAATAGTAGTTGGAAATTAGTAGTTTAAAGAGGCTTTGAGTATTTTATTCAACCGTATTGAAATGCTGGGAAATTTGTTTCTTGCATTGTTTTGTTCTGGATTCAAGCGTTGATAAAATATTAAAGTTCTAAAATGATAAATAAAATATGTCAGCATTGTCGGAAAATAGCAATGAAGATCGAAAAGATCTTGAAGAAAAGAGTGCCAAATTAGGACGTTTATTTCAGTTGATAGAGTCCAGTATTTCAACCGGTTAAAATTCATTTCAAAACCGACTCGCCTTGAGTCAAACCCGTTCTATCCCGCCGCCCCATCACCAAACCATCCCCCTCCCCACCACCCACCTCCCACTTCCCACATCCCACGCCCGCCAAAAGACCTTGACCCGCATGTCGCTGTGCGAGATGATGATATAAATCAGCGCCTCGGCTAAGGAACGCCATTGCCGAATGTCGGGGACACTCCAGCTGGGACATATACTATATCTCTCCATCTATATCTGTATACAGACGACGATGGGAAGGGTACTCTCCACTCGAGAAGTACTTTAAAATGGGTAAAATGCCTAGATAAGGCCAAGGGTGCTTACAAAATGAAAGCAGCACCTTCTATTCAGAAATAATCGCATTCTGTTTGAACTTTAAATAAATATTTACCTACAACAAATACTCGATTTGAACGCATAATTTGATTGAGTGAATCGTGCATTCGCTAAGGCGGGAAATTGATTACGCGATGGGCTAAAAAAGGTAGTGAGAATACCTGATGCCTAAGGCAAATACTTATAAACTTAAATAACTACGTAATCGGTTAGTTCAGCGAACTTTAAGTTGGAATATCAGTAAATTTGTCTGAAAACAGTAGGCTAATGAATAGGTTCTTTAAACCTCAACAAATTCGGCAGTAAACAACTATCGGCAAATCTAACAAATCATTGAAAGTTTAGAAAATTAAGTTAAGTAGAATACCTGATGCAAACATTTCTAAGCTTTAATAATAACGTAATCAATTATGTACATTAGCGAACGTTCAGCTGGGATAGTATGTCTAAATGCGTCTCAAAACAGAAAGCAATAGGAAGGCCACTGAATCGGTTCTTAAAAACAAATCATTGAATGCTTAAAAATGATGTCACGTAATTTTAAAACAATCTATTAACTAATATTTGCATGGAATCCATATGATCAATTTGATTTTTTGGAAAGGTGAAAGATAAATTGTACCTTTGTCCAATTATTTTCAAGATTAAGTACCTGTACCAGAACTGTACACTAGCATCTATCTCTGATCAAACGCAACTAATAGTTAAGAACCAAATGCAAACACTAATTTATATAAGTATTAAACACGTGTACTCAATTGAATAAATTGTGCATTTACAACACCAAATATTTTCTAATTTGATGAAATTTAGAGGTCAAATTGATTACTGGGAGAGGTGACAGATAACTGTACCTTTGCCAAGTTATTTGCGACCTTAAGTACCTGTACCTACGACCGCCATTGTACCATTCATCTCCAATCAATCGAACCAACTGGTTATGTACCCCAGCGAAATAGTTAACATAATGCAAATTTCTATTTATATAGAATTATATAAGTATTGAGAGCGCGCAATGCGATTGCATGAATCATAGGGTCAACTTGAATTTGGGGGTAAGGGCGAGAGACGTGGAGGTTTTTTAGGGGCAAGAGGAGACCTGCGTAGTGCCACCCAGAAGATGAGGCTCACCCACTGCATAACGCAAGTGCAGTGAGTGCGTGTTTGTGGGCGGCATTGCGGGAAAATCAATAGACGAACGCTTGGGCGCGTACCATCGGGTACTCACTTGTTGGTAATCTCCAGGACGTCGGACATCATCAGGCGGTACTTGCGGCGGAACCGCTGGCCATGACTCGTCTCCAGCAGGTATTTGTTGCAGAAGTCGGTCAGCGAGACGAAGTAGATGAATCCCAGCGAGGTGAGGACCAGTCCGCGCTGCAGCGAGATGCGATCGCTGCTGTTGGGGATCTGCCACAAACTGCCGCAGGCCAATCCCATCGAACCGATGGAGAAGGCCAGCGAGAAGTAGCAGCCGCGTCGTTGCGCCGGCGGCAGCGGCATCGTCGGCGTCTTCACCGAGTGTTTCTTGGTCTCATCCTGAGGCTGCTCCTCCTGGCAGGCTCCACTCGCCTGCGGGCGACGCTGCTGCATCCTGCTGCACCCACTTCCAATCCTCTGGCCGCTCACTTGGCGTAACAAAAGGGCACACCGATGGGATGTAGTAGGGGGCACAACCTGTTGCGGGAACCGGGGGATCCGGTCGCTCCGGATGCTCTGCTCCCGCTTCTGACTGCGGGCGGACTTCTCTGCGGCGGCGGCTGCTGATGCTGCTGCTGCTTACAAGCTGCACTGCGTCTGGGACATGGCGGCTGGGCGAACGGGAGGAGCTGGAGAATCTGGCGGCGCGGTGCGAGGGCTCATGGGTCGTGCGGATTGTTTACAGTGTGCCCGTGCAGCGACTAGCGATGGACAAACATCGATGACAGCATCGATGCTATTGATGTTTTCCAATCGGCTAGTCTATGTGTTTATCCATCTCTAACGAGTACTGACAAATGGTCACACCGATAAATATCACTCACGTTATTGCACACTGGTAACGATTCCACTAAATTTATTGTACGCACTTTAAAATTACCCAATTACCTAATACAAACAAAACGCACTTTGATCACTGTAAAAAATGTTGGCTTTATAAATGCCAAAATATAAAAATGAAAAACTGCGGATATTATATGAAAATGTATACAGTTGCAGTCAAAATTATAGGATTGGGATTATAGGATTCAATATACTGTAGTAAATAAATGGAAATCTTTGAGACATTGATGTTTCCCGCCAAAATCATCGAAAACATCGAAGCTCGATAGCAGCTGGAAAAGCATCGATGTTACTACTGGTGGTATCGATTAAGCTCAGGCTTGATATATCGATATTATGTTTAGAAATCGAAAATCAAATCATCTCGATAATTCGAGTCTGTAACGGTCCCTGGAATATATTCTTGGTCGGGAACAGTAGCCGAATCGTAGATTAGATCTCGAAAACTATACGACCCATATGTTTGTACCTATCATTTAGATTCTAGAAATGTCTGTGCCCACAAGTCGCGAAACTTATAAACTTATTAGTAAAAAATGTTTGATTTTTGTTCCCTGTTCGTTTTTAACATTTCAGCCCTTTTAGAGATTAATTAAAAATTTCAAAAAAAAACTACTAACTACTAACTAACACAAAAACCACATTTTGGGGAATAGAAACTTAATATCTGAAAATAGCTATTGGATTTTTTTAAGAAAACAATATTTGACCTCCCAAACAAATAAAAAAAACTCTTGAATTTAGAACAATTTGTAAGGTATTCTTTATGTATTTTCGTTTTCGATTGGTGTTGCTGTTGCTGCTGTGGTTGGTTGCTTTTGATTGATTGATCTTATGGTACATTTACCATTCGTATCGCACTAGACCCAGGACATTTATATATAGAGTGTAACTAACTGAACAACTGACGTAGATTAACCTGTTCAACTGTAACTGCCACTATCTTAGCCACTATCGGGAGTGTCCCAGAAATCTCAGCCAACCAAATTTCAAATGAATCACTAATCTCGGTGTCCCAGAAACCTATTCAACTTTTGAATCGATTTAAAACCCACCAATGAGTTAATTTTGAAATTTGTTCCTAAAGTTTAAGCAAGTTTACTTCAATATACATCAAAAACTCTAAAAATTATGGGACACCAACGGATTCCTTCTGAAAATCGTTGAAGATTTTAGGGACAACCCGTATATAAAAGATTGCATATACATCTAGAGCGTAAAAGTTAATGGGAGGTTAACATAACCCCGATTAAACATTAACATTACATTTACAAGGGAAACTAAGCCTACATTAGATACAAATATTTAAATATATATATATTTATATATATATATATATAGATCGCTTGCCTGCCACAAGAGTGTATTTTTAGCGTAGAAGTTTTCAATTTACAATCAGGTTTTGTACAAAAAGTAACCTCATAAATCTCTTTTAAAAGCAAATTCCAACCGAAAATCGAATCAAGGTGCCACATAACTATCTAGAACTATACATTTGCTCATTAACAAGAGTGAAACGATAGAGATTCGATGGCACCTACGGATTTTCCAGTGCTGGGAAAACCTAAAGATTTCTGGGGCTCCTTGCAAATGTATACATTTGTTAAAGGCTTTCATAAAAATAAAGGTTAAACCATATCAGTAGTCGTGTGGCAAGCAGGCGATTTCTGTGGGGATGTTTGTAAAGTAATCTTTAAACTTAGGTCAAAATTGCCGGGTTGCAGTCTAGAATCTAGTCCTAGTGGCTGAGCTAAACAAGTGATTGGGGAGGGCGAGGGGTAGGATTTTAGGGGGGGGAACTTAAGGCAAGTTAGAAACGCTGCGGCAGTATCTCGCTTTTGATGCCCCTCAGCGCATGCTTCTTCTTGCGATGCGTGGACAGGTTGCACGACTGCTTGAAGGATGCACTGCACAGTTCGCAGTTGAAGCGCCGCTCCTTGCTGTGCACCACCCGGTGCAGCTCCATCCGCGACTTGTACTTGAACTTCAGCCCGCAAGTCTCGTAGTCGCAGACATACCAGCGCTCTCCGTCATCCGAGGACACAGCGCTCCCGGCGCTGGCCGTCGTGCTGTTGGAATCCTTGGGCAGCTGCTCCTGACTGGCGGCCAGCATGGCGGCGGCCATTGCCGTCGATGGAACGACTGTCATGTTGAGTTGCTGCTGCTGCTGCTGTTGTTGCTGTTGCTGCTGTTGTTGCTGCTGCTGTTGCTGTTGCTGCTGGTGGAGCACATTGGGCGGCGTGGTGCTGACCGTATTGGAGGTGCTGGTGCTGGCGCTGACACTCACGAATCCCGGCGTGGGCGGCGGAGGCGGCACAGGGGCAGGCACCAACTGTGGCAGATGGTAAATGGTCCCGGCAGCCGCTGCAGCAGCCTGCATTTCCGGGGTTAGTGTGAGACTGGCCGGCTCGATCTTGATGTCGATGCCGCTGCTGCTGCGGGTGCTCCCCTCGCCGCCAGTGGCGACCACAGCAGCGGCAGCGGCGGCGGCGGCCACCGCATTGGCATGCAGCTCGGCCAGCTCTTTGGCCACATCCCGCTGCTGCTGGAGCTGCTGGTGGGCCTGCTGTTGGTGTTGCTGGTGGGCCTGCTGCTGTTGCTGCTGCTGCGCTTGCTGAGCCTGCTGAGCTTGCTGCTGCTGCTGCTGTTGTTGCACCTGCTGCTGCACTTGCTGCTGCACCTGGACCTGCTGCTCGTGCAGCTCCACCTCGCGCTGCTCCTCCTCGGAGTACTTGGCGGAGCAGTGGTACAGGGCCAACGGAACGCTCACGGCGGTGGCGCCCTGCTGGGAGCTACCACCGGGCGTGGCCGACGCCGCCGCAGCCTCCACATCCGTGAGGCAGTAGCTGGAGGTCCGGCTGTGCTCCTGCTGCAAAGGGGGCAAAGATTAAGGGTCCGCCGGCGAGAAAAGCACACAGCAATAGCAAACCCACCTTGGCCACGCCGTGCAGGAAGTTGTGTTCGTCCTGTATGTGCTTCCAGAACTGATCCTGCGTCTGCAGCTCCTCCTGGCACGTGTGGCAAACGATCCAGAAGCTGTCCCCCGACAAACAGAACTCGCCCAGCTTCGTGTAGATCTTGTTGTTCTTGCTGAGGATGCGCGGAAAACCCATGGCGTCGTCGTCGTTTCGCTTCGATTCGATTCGCTCGCTCCCTGTGCTTGTGTTTGTTTATGTTTATGTTTTTTTGTAATTTTTTTGTTTGTTATTGTTTTGCGTATTAAGCAGTGTGACCGCGCAAAAGTCTAAAGAAAATACAATCTGACTCCCCAAAATATTTATATATTTATACTAGATATATATAGCGAATTTTTGAAGTAAATTAATAAGAATACTTGATATTTTTTTTCTTTCAAAGTAATGGTCACACTTCCTTGGCGGGAAATCGGTTTTCGCCAATAAAAACATCCGGGATATATGTAAAACATTCCAAGTCCAACTGCAAGGGCTTAAAATGAAATAATGTTTTGTTTGTTTACAATAGAAATAGAGTTATAATAAGTTGTTATTGATTATTTCAAGGCATTAAGCAAAATGCAAACAGGGAGCAGTATTTTTTTAAAAGTATAAGTGATGTTGGAAAAGGCTTAGTGGGTTTAATTAATTTTAATTACAACTCTAATTACATTTCTTTCTGATATCAGAAATTTTTTACATATGTACATATGTTGTGTTTGCATCGTCCGACTTTTAAAAGTAAGGTCAAACCATGCTTATAAAATGTAGTCAAAACTTAAAAAATAATATCTTTTTCAATTAAAAAAAAAATTTTATGTATTATGGATCCAAATGATTGATTAAGCTGCCCATTTGAATTGAATTGTGCGTACCCAAACAAAAGGTTACCCCTATTCTTCAAAATCGTTACTTATCGTGTGCGAAGTACCTGATTTCTTTACAAATTATATTTAAAAAAAAAATCAAGCGGAATATGGCTAGAAGTAAAAAACTCTACAAGAAACTCATAAGCGTATGGGAAAAAAATGAATAAATATTAATTTTTAGGTACCACTGTATAAACTCTCTTTTATAATGTTGTATGCAATACAATAGATTTATCAGGTAATCGAATAAAATTATTTAACTTCTTGTTAGTCTACACTATCTAATAGGTAAATACATATATAATAATATAATAGCAAATGTTACCCCCTCTTTTTCGACACGCCTTTGTGCACCTGTTATGCACACACAAACACACACACACACACACATCAAAGTAGAGTCCATTCAATTGAAGGGGAGAAAAGCAAAGAAACCGAAAGAGAAAAAGAGATAGTTGCAGAGACAACCACAGTTAGAAACAAGGACGTAGTCATAATCTAGTTTGAAATGGGGGTAAATAATAGATTCGCTTTTTTGTAGTTATTGCACCAAAATATATTTTTAAGCTTTATTGAACAACCTTTTTTTGTGATCAAAAATGTACCATTATTTTTTTTTAACCCATCCTGACCGCTTTAACCCCTTTGCCGCGCCGCTGGATAATTGAAGTCAGAGATGGACGTGGGCTAGCGAAGAATGGCCCGAACGAGATGCCGATGTAAGTTTGTATGGATGTATGTATGTACATACATATATGTACATAAATGTGTGAATGTGTTGTTTTTATGAGCCAGGTTCGAGCCAGTTTGTTGCCCCTGCTCTTGCCGTTGCTTTGCTTCTTCGTCTTTGTCTTTGTCTTCATCTTCTCTGGTCTTTTTCTTGGCATTTCATTTCCATTTTCACAACCTGAACCCCCGACGTCGATTCAAGTCGATTGTCGATTCAACTTCAGCTTCAGCTTCAGTTTCAGCTTCAATTCAACACAACACAACGCAACGCAACTGAAAGAGGCCGCGCAGTCGCAGTCGCCGCTTCAGTCGCTCGGGGATTACACCTTGCGCTGCGTTTGCGTTTACGTTTGCGCTTGCGCACTCCACCAAATTAAACGGCCGCTGTTATTGTTATTATTCTCCGCTCTGCGTTTTGGCGTTTTCGGGCGGCTTAAAAAGTGAAACCACCCGCGTAGGTGACCACGCCAGGTGACCCACAGGTGAGCAGCTCAAGGAGGCGTTATAGGGAACAATCCACTTAGTACCGAGGCTCTAACTAACCTTTAAGCCATCTCTGTGAATCACGCCAACATATGTTCATATGTGTGTATGTAAATACATACATATGTGGTAAATACAACGGTGTCCAAAGTAATAGCACCTTCTATACATAATAACAATAGCACCGGGCCTTTTAAGAATTTTATTTCCTATCTATTGTACAAGTGATAACTTTCAATATATAAAGTTATAAAGTTAAAGCAGTTAAAGTTATGTATAAAACTACACAAAAAGAAAGTATATTAATCCTAAGAACAAACCATATACATAAATAAACCGTTAAACAACAATATAATGTTAAAGGCTCTGCACATATGAATTGCCAACAGTTCTTACTTGTATATCTTGTCAGCCAAAGAAATGTATGTGAATTACTTAATTTGTTGTTATTGATTTATTTTTAAACTTTCCTTGCGCGCAATAATTATCAATTTTTGTCATTTACTAAATATAACTACATTTACGAGAAAATAAAGATTGAAATGGAAATTGAATTCAAATTGAATATCTACTATATAAATCGTTTTACCTGTACAAAATGATTTAAAATATGTATATATTATTTTTAGATTAAGAAAATGTTAAAAATTTGAGCTGTTAGGTCTTGGCCTTTTTTAAAAGAAAGTAAAAAATGTTTACTAAAATTCATATGCTATTATTTAAATAAAGTTTTGAAAATATATTCCTACAATAGTCAAATTAAATTTAAAACAAAAATGTAATATTTAAACTTTATGGATAAAAATCAAAGCGAAAAATATTTAAATCGATTATAAAATACTTGGATACACTTCATTTTTTTTACCAGTGTCCTTACCATTTTTCCCCCTTTTTTTAGAATACTCCCACGAGGAGGTGAGAACCGACGAGATGCGTCAGCGGTGCGGCAGCGTTTACACCTGGAATTGTGCCGGCGAGCTCTATGCCATCGAGTGTTCCCTGTGCGAGGAGCGGCCCTTGTGCGCCCTCTCCGAGTTTCCGGAGCACATGGACGTGTGGCACTCCGATTGGCAGGCACCCGAAGCGCAAGCCGATGAAGCCGATGAGGCGGATGAAGCCACCTCATCCGGAGCCATTCCCGAGGATGATCTCATGCAGGAGGTGCTGGCGGAGCAGCGAACCAATGGCGAGGACAATGAACTCAAGCAGCAACTGGTGCTGCAATTGAACGCCATCGAGGAGGAGGTGCTGCCAGGTGAACCTGGCGAGCACTTGGCAGAAGTGGATATGGTTGCGGATGCGGATGCGGAAGTGGGCAAGGCTGGCGAAGAACTGTTGAAAACGTCGGGAAAAACAGGAGATTTGGGAAGTGAAGATGCTACAGAACCCCTACAAGTTCCAGATTCCACAGTGGAGGTGAGTGCGTTTTTTTTAGAGAGCTAATTATGTATTAAAGGGTGATATAGCAATCGTTACAGTATTGTCATCTCTGATCCCATCAGACTAGATATCAGTCTAAAGATGTAAAAATGTATAAATTTCTAATAAAACTCAAAAAAATACAATACTTAGAAAGTTAAGAAAGCTTTAAAAATACGCTTTTGGTTCTTAGTATGCTATCAATTTTTTTATTCATAATTTTTTTTATTAGGAATTTTTATTCAAAGATTTTTGTTTCTGAAATATATATGTATATTGAATAAAGATTTAATGAAAAAATATTAAATACTTGACTTCTTCCGGTCTCTCCGCGTTGACAGCAGAACTTTTTGCAGGATCATCAGAAGTAAAAAATAAAAAATATGTATTTTAATTAAGACCATAAACTAGGAGTTGGACAAAGGAAAAAACAAAAAGAGGGGAAATTGTATTTTTGACGGATAATTTGACATAAAATGTAGATTTTTGTAAACATTATTGGGCGTTTTTTAATTTTTTTATTTTTTTTTTATTATTGAAAAAAGAAAAATCGGTTGTTCAAGACCTTGTATTTTGAATCTCGAATCTTGACAACCGACTTTGAAAACACAGTGTTCGAGAAAAACGTGTTTGAACGCGTTTCAAGTGACATTAAAAGCTGTAACTCCAAAAGTAATTCTCGAAACAACTTGAAAATAAAGGTCAATAATCTAGAGATGTTTTACGATGTAATTGTATGGGCATTGCATACACGTAGGTATATTGTATATCATATCCTAACTCCGTTTCCCATCTTCCAATCCCGTTTCCCCCAGGAGGCATCGCCCGTGCCGGCTGGCCAACGACTGACCAGGCAGCATGTGGACCGCCTGATCGAGCTGTACCGCTCGGAGCCGCGCCTCTGGAACCAGACGCACGCGCAGTTCCACGACATGCTGCTGTGCCGCGACTCCTGGCGCCGCATCACGGACGCGTGGGGCGCCTACTGTGGCCGCACCTTCAGCGTGACGGACGTACGGATCCGGATGTCGACGCTGTGCCAGCGGTATCTCAAGCAGCGGGAGCGTGTGGAGGCCGACGGCGAGCTGGCGGACGAGGTAACCCGATTCGCCCACTTCGACCAGTTGAGCTTCCTGTGCGAACAGCAATCGCTGCTGAAGCGGCAGCGTCACTACGCCCGCGAGAACGCCCGCCTGCTGGAGCTGTACGAACACTATCCGGTGCTGTGGCACAATGCCCACAAGCGGGTGAGATGTGCGGCGACGGTGCGCCGGCGACAGGAGGCCATCATGGGCCTCCAGTTGGCGCTGCGTCTGTCGGGGATCAGCCTGTCGCCGGTGGTCATCCAACGGCGGCTGCAATCGCTGCGTAAACGCTATCGCCTGGAGAAGATCGCCTATCTGCAGAGTGTGGTGGAGGGCAGACAGGCGGACTTTGTGTCCGGATTCGAGCACTATGCGGAAATGGAGTTCCTGCACAAGCACATCGATCCGTATGTGTGTGCCGTGTGCGGCAAGATCTTCGAGAATCTGCTGGGTCACCAGATGCACGTCCAGGTGGGCTGTGATGAGGTGCGCCAGACGGATCACCAACTGCTGGGCGAGCAGCTCAGGGCGGTGTTGAGCGAGGAGAAGGAGCTGGTGGAGAAGGAAACCCAACAGGCCGTCGAATTGCTAAGGGAAAAGTTGGCTCAACCCAATCCCAATCCCCCAGAGAATGAAGATGGGCAGATCACGCTGGCCGAGGCCTGTGCCGCTGCCCAACTGGAGGATGCCAGCGCAATGGTCGCCATTGAGGAGGAGGATCGACCAGGAGGCGGGCAACGCCATCGCTTGGGTCACCAGGAAACGTTGGAGCTGATCCGGCTGTACCGCTCGCATGTCTGCCTGTGGGATCCCAATCACCTGGACTACCATGATCGCGGCCAGCGTCGACTGGCCTGGCAGGCCATCACAGAGGAGCTAAACTCCGCATCCGGTGGCTCACATCGTCTCACCTGGCAGATGCTGCACCGCAAGATCACCGACTATAGTAAGTACTATCGCAGGGAGAAGCAACGCCAGAGCGAGGAGGCGGATGCCACGCCCCAGTGGAACCTGTTCGCTGAGTTCCGCTTCCTGGACGACGTGCTGGCGATCAGCGGCAGCGAGCTGCAGAAGACGCTCAACCAGCGGGACAGCAACCTGAAGATCATAGCGGTGTACCAGGGCTATGCCCAGCTGTGGTGCACCGACCATCCGGACTACACGAAGCGGCGGCAGCGTCAGCGCCAGCTGGAATCGCTGTGCACCCGGCTGCAGGAGGAGTGCAATCTGCAGCTGACGGTGGAGCGACTGAAGAGTCGCCTCATCGAGTTCCGTTGCCAGTATCGCCACTGCAAGGAGGCTCGCATGGCGGCCATCAAGAAATCGGAACCCTGGACGCCCAAGTACGAGTACTACGAGGCGTTGCGCTTCCTCGAGCTCCATGTGGCTCCCTTCCAGTGTGCCCGGTGTCCGGCCTCCTTCAAGCGGCGCACCGACTACCTGCAGCACGAGCGCAATGTGCACGCGGAGGTGGAGAAGTCCCTGGATGGGCAGTATTTCCTGGTGCGGCGCCGCCAGAGCAGCCGCAAGACCAGGGAGGCGGGAGCGGAGGAGCAGAACGATGAGCTGGCCAATATATGCCACATCTGTGGACTAAAGTTCACCCTGCGGAACAGTTTGTTGGCCCATTTGCGTCGCCATCTGGGCCAACGGACCCATGCCTGCTGCGAGTGTCCCAAGAAGTTCTTCAGCTCGACGGCTTTGCGTGTCCACGAGCGCAGCCACACCAAGGAGCTGCCGTACGTGTGCGAACACTGCGGCCGGGGATTCGTGAATGCCAGCAAACTGAACCAGCATGTCAAGCGGCACCGCAATCAGCGCGACCATCCGTGCACCCGCTGCGACAAGGCCTTCTTCACGGCCCACGAGCGGGACCGGCACATGCGCGCCCATCTCAACATCCGCGACAAGGTGTGCCCCTACTGCTCGCGCGCCTTCGTCGTGGGCAGTGCCTACTACGCCCACCTCAATCTCCATCGCAGCGAGAAGCGCTACGCGTGCCCCTCCTGCGGCAAGCGGTTCGCCCAGTACGCCGGACTCTACAAGCACCGCCGCCGTTGTCTGCCCGTTGAAGTTATGGAGGAGTGAGCGTTGAGCCTGAGTCTTGAACCCTACACCTCCTATCCCTTTACCCATGTGGAAAAAGAAATCTACATGCAAAATATATGTAGAGGAGTAAGCATTGTAACCTTCACCTCCTAAACCTTTATCCACATGGGAAAAGCTAACCTACAATCACTGCAAGCAATGTCTGTCGGCAGAAGCAATTGTGGAGTGAGCTTTGAACCCGGCACCTCCTATACCTTTACCAGTATACAAAAATAAAAAACCCATATGAACAAGTTATAGAGTAGTGGTCCGGCAGGAGATATGAAAGAGTGACCCCTGGGACCCATATAAAAAAGGAATCCTACGGCCACCGAAGGCGATGCTTGCCAGCTGAAGTTATCGAGAAGTGGTATGTGAGCCTGCTACATCCTATTTGGATGACCCTATTGCATATATAAAAAAAAAAGACGAGTGAAGAGGATGACCCGTTTGCCTTAGTTAATATACAATTTTGTTTTCTTAAAAGTTTTCCACAATTTAGCCAGGCAAATTCCTTTACAGGGGGAGTACGGTTTTATGACCATTTGTATACGTTTGTTGCATTATAACTGTAGTCGAAAAAGAATTTTTTTTTGTTTAAACTTAAAAAAAATTACTACGGTCATTGCCGGACTTTTTAAATATTTCTATATGAAAAGTTAACAAAATATTTAACTCAATCAAATGCTTTACTATAATGATCATTGATTTTTAGGAATAGATTTTAACTGTTAAAAAAAAACAAAAATTGGTCTTTACGACTTAACCATACTCCTCTTTTAAACTGCAGCAAAAAATGTTTTAGCTAGACAAATTTTACATTTAATCAGTAAAAAATCAATTGAAAAGATATAAACAAATGAAACGGGATATTCGTAGGTTGTATAAAAATCTATATTCTCGTTAGATGTTCTAAATACTCATAGAAATTTTTAAATATGTTGCAATAATATAGGTATAAAATTCATGATGACTGCAATATTTAACACATCCGTCCTAATGTTTTAAAATTATTCATAAGGTATTGATTAATGTTGTGTATTTTATTTTATTTCGTTTTTGATTGTTTTATTTTATTAAGTTTTAGTTAAATATATTTTATTGTAATTTTTAATTTTATTCCCTTGCAGATCGTTTATCTACCATATAAACGATGCAAAAACATACTATACGACTTTCATAGAGAATTCATGATTTTTCACAACTGCAAGGATAGCTTCTTTACTTGTTTTAATTCCTTTTTTGTTATATTCATTTAATTAAGTAAATGTAGTTATTCAAAAATTATGGTTTCACTTATTTATTTACACAGATTATATATTTTCCTGATCATGAAATGAACAAAAATGTAGTTGTACTTAAATTGTTTAGTTAATATACTTTTAACAAATAATAAAAAATGTAGTACATAATTATGTGGACAAAACGAGTTCTTGTCCTTGGAAATTCTTAACATCTATATACCTTTTCGTGATGACAATCAATTCATCCATGCATGCTCCAGTATAATGAAACCTAATCCGTGTTGTTCCATTTCCGTGTATATGTTTGTAAATGCGTTAGTAAAAAAAATAAGTGCAAATCTGGCCGAATGGCGGATCTCAATTGGACTTAGCAAAGCGCTTTAGCTGCCGCAGGCGGTAAATGTCATGCGTGGGCGGCACGGCGGTCTGCAGATCGTCGTCGCTGTCATCGCCACCGGGCAACAAACGTCTCCGGCGCGGCGGAATGGCCGTAACACTGTGCTGCACACCCGTATACGTACTTGTGTCCACGATCCAGTGCACCGACTTGGCCAAATCAAAGATCTTCGGCGACAATTCGTTGTCGCCATTCGGTTGCGGTGCAGCTAAGGCGGTGAAAAAGCATTAGTAGTGAGTATATTTTAAACATTTACAAGCAAGAACACTCACAGTCGGGCAGATTGAGACGCATGAAGATGTCGAAGAGCAGCTCCACGCTGACGAAGGGTCCGCGGAAGGAGTTCGGCGGCGGCAGGGTGGCGCACAAGGCGGCCAGAGCAGGTGGCTGCGGAAAGACACCGCCGGCGAGGGGATGGGCACCGGGGTGGGCGCACGGGCGCGGCTTGAACGGAATCATCTGGGAGAAGTCCGGTCGTGGCAGCGGTGCCGCCGCCTCGCTATCCGCCTCGGTCTCTCCGTTGTTTTGGCTTTGCACTCCACTACCCACCTTGTTCAGGATGATGCCCACGTTCTGCAAGATCACAAGTTGTAAATTAGAAATTATATTATCTTTAGGTGTTTTCCCTTTTAAAAATAAATAACATTTTCGGGTATTTTTTCAACGAAAACTATTAAACTATGAATAAAATATATTATTTCCACGAAAATATATTAAATACATTTCTTTTATTTAAAATTATTTACTATTAATAAAATATTCAATAACTATGTTAGAAAACATTTCAAGGAAATGTCCTTTCTCTGAATTTGGAATCTGGATTATTAAAATACAAATTATGAATATATTCAGGCTAATAACACAATAAACTCTTTAATCTAAGGATGTTTTTTTTTTTTTGGAATGTGGCTTTTGTTATTTTGAAAAGCTCACTACAATTTATTAAGAACTCTTATAATTATGATTTAACCAAAAAGTTGAAGCTATGAAAAGCTTAGTTTCTTATAATTAAATGCGCTTAGGACTGCCAAAAACATATATTTCCCATATATTTTTAAACTATCTCACTCTCGCTCACACTTACAGAGCAGAAGCTTCTCATTATTTCTTTTTCAATAAGCAGAGTTATTCAATGTGTGAGAGAAGGGCAAGTGTATATTTTTAAATTTATAAACAAATAAGGATCTTATCATTTCAACATGAAGTTGTTGTTTTTTATCCGTATATGTCTAAAATAAAATTATTTTGCTCAAGTATGTTAAATGATAATTTATTTAAACAAAATAAAACTAGAAAAACTTTCGCCAAGAAATGAAGAAGTTAAGAATGCGATCGTAGTTTTTTGTTAGACATTTATAGATATTCAGGACAACTCACCTCGGCATATCCTATGGACTTGAGCTCGGTGCTGGTGCAGGGATAGAGGTCCAGGAACTTGTAGCGGTCCACCAGCTGGGCGGTCTCCTTGCCCTCGTACTCTTTAAGCTTTAGGACAAGTAAGCAGAGCGGCAAGTAAGTCAAATGTTTAGCCAATAAAGCCAATAAACAACAATAAAGTGATCAAAGTACGCACGTTCTCGAAGACGGCACTGCGGCGTCGTTCCACCTTGACAATACTGGACAGATCGCCAATGTTGGACTCGAACTCGAGGAAGCGATTCCACACCTCCACGCTCTTGTGCGGCGACAAACCGCCGGAGCTGAGTACGCGTTCGAATAGGACGCGCGTGTTGTTGTCCTCGTTGAGATGTGATAGGTAGTCAATGTAACACATCACGTACTCTGGACTGCCGCCAAAGCGCTTGAGTCCCAGCTCGAAGATCCGGAAGGCGATTTCCTTGTCCTTGGAGCAATAGTACTCCATCAGAGCGGCGGCCACAAAGATGTGGTAACGCGAGCGCACATCCTCGCGAGCCTTCTTGAAGATGCCGCGGGCCGACTTGATGCCCTCGGCACGACGGGCGAACTTCATGTACTGAACATACACCTACACACATATCGTTTCAAATTAGTTTTCTGTTCATGCATGCGATCCTGAATATCGTGTGCTCCTACCAGTGTGGGATCAATGTCCGGCAGCTGCAGCAGCTTGTTGTACATGGAGTGCACCTTCTCGTACTTCAATCTTCCCTCCTCGAAGTCCGCATAGGCGAAATAGAGCAAAGCATTCCGATTCAGCACGCCGTTGATGGAGCGTTCCAGTATATTGGCACACTCATCCGCAAAGATCTTTGCCGCCTGAACGTCCTGTAAAGTAGGCAAAAGCAATTAGCTGAGGAATAGACAGAGTTTGGCTTAGTCAATAGAGAGAGTAAAACGCGTGCGGCCTGGCCAAGGGCAATGGAGCAAGCGGCAGAACGGAATCTGGATCTGATCTGGCCTTGGCCACCGCGTGCTCCTTTACCCGAGGGGCGACACTTCCCAGCGAACAAGAGACTATGGTTGATTTCGTTTTTGATCTTGACCGTCGCCCAGCAATGGGGCAATGGCCAAAATCCAGTCTATTTGCTTGACTTTAGGCACGCAGAAGGTGGTTGCACCACTAGTACGCACGCCTTTCTCGGTGAGCACGCGAGCACTGGTGTCCAGGAACTGGGAGGCCTGATGCCACACGGCCGGATGGTGGGTGAGCACCAGCAGGCACTGCTCCGTGGCGAACATAACGCGACGGGTGACCAGGGCCGTGTCTTCGGTGCGCAGCGGATTGGACTTCTCGTATGTGATGAAGCGCTTCCACAGCTCCACCTGCTTCACCTCCTCCTTGGTGAGTGTGGGCGGAACAGCGGGCAGGTTGCGATTGAGGCCCTTTGTGTGGTACTCCAGCTCCTTGGCCACGCGGCGCGCGTTCATGTAGTCTCTGGTTATAGAAAGAACAGAAAGTGGATCACTTTACACAAATACTGCTGCTGGAGATGTGTGGCAAACATACTTGGATCGCTCCAGGCTCATCTTCTCGGATATGATCGGGTTTATGTTCTGCTCGAAGGCGATGTAGTCCTTCCACAGCTGCTCAATGCCCACGATGGGCGTAACCACTGCCTTTTGGTAGACACGTCGCACGGCGGTGATCTTCTGATTCTCCGCATAATTGCCAACGGCTTCAACGCCGCGCAGAAAGTATATGTAATCCTGCCAGATGCTGAACGAGTGCAGGTCCATGCCGATCTTCTCCAGGGCGAAATCATAAGCCTGTGCCATTTTTTCCCTGGAAAAGGAGTTAATTCAATTTAAAGTGGTTTTAAAAAAAAAAAGCGATATATATGCAAATAGATTATCTCAAAATAAGCTGCATTTTTCCTATGACAGCTATAAGTCCGATCTTAAAACTTGATCTGCATGCACAAATAAAAGGAGTATAGTAATCCTCCGGATATCCAATATGAAGTAGTTCACCGCTTCGTTTTACGAAACTAATATAAAACTTAAAAATCTTAAATCAACTATATTAAGTCAATAACTCACTTGTGTGTGCTGAGACCCGACTTGGTTTCCTTCACGTAGGTGAGGTAGAGCTTCCAGAGATCGATGTTCAGGATCTTGACAAGACACCGCTGGAAGAGCTTCTCCACGCGTTCGTAGTACCGGCTGCGCATCTCCATCTCAATGTAGAGCTTCCAGTAGCGGGCGGTGGTGGGGAAGACGTTGACCAGCGATTCGTACAGGCTGCGCACTTCGTGGATGGGACGCGTTTGGGCCTCGCGGATCATGACGCTCCAGGACTCGATGTCGTAGGGACGCAGCTCCACCACTTGTTGGGCCCGCACCAGACGCTCCATGCCCCATTCCTGGTGGCCATTGGGTTACATTCACATTAACATTAGAATTTGCCCATTCAATTGCTCCAATTCCACTTACTATGTCGATTTTGATAAGATCCCTTGCCGACGACATTGCTGTTGTTGTTGTTGTTGCTTCCTGTTCCTGCCTCTGCACTGTTTGTTGTTGTTTTGTGCCTACGTTTTGCCGGCGTTTTTTGCCGCCCTTGCCGCTGTCCCGCTCACTTCTACTTTGGCCCGGATCGTACCTTCTCTGTCGGCGGACTGGACGCTGGCAAAAATCGCTGGCAAATCGCTCGAGGCCACGCTTTAAAACCGCTTAAATAATTAATAATTATTTTCAATGCGGCTTCGATACCGACAACGATTATCCGGCTGAAAACTAGAGCTGTCATCAATCTTATCGATAGTATCGGCGGTTGGGCTACGGCAGCCACGTTCGTTTGTTTTTAGATTAGCCCAACAGTATACATAGATATATTATTATTATTATATAAAATATTATTTTACACTTAATTATTTCCATTAAAATTCAATTAAAATTTATTCAAACAAAATTTTTTTAAATTTTTATAACATATATATATATATATATATATATATATATATATATATATATATATATATATATATATATATATATATTTTATATCAAATATAGTAATATATATATAACATGTGTATAATTATAATTAAAATAATAATATTTATTCACAAATCCCTAAAAGTTAATTAATCTGGTTTGCTTGCAGGAATATCCTAAATATTATAACTAGAACTGCTAAAGTCTTCCAGATAACGGCAACTCGGCGGGGCATCTGTACTAAAATACCAAAACATGCCGAGAACATACTGTTCTAAATACAATTACAGTGGGCATTGTTTGCAAAAAGGTGCCTTTTATATTATTAGTTAAATAACGATCGCTTAAAATTCATTCAAGACAATTATTTGAAGTTCTAATACAAATAATAGTCGACATATTTATTTAGATTGCTAAAATGTTGAAATATTTACGAAAAAATATGTAGGTTTCAACCAATATTTCTGAGACAAATTTAATATATAATTTTTGTTTAATTTGCTTGCAAAAATAAAGAAGAACGAGGTTCCAAAATATGGGGGCAGGCCCTATAGTTTATTTTTACAACAATGAGTGAACAAGTAAATCAAATGATTTCAATTGATTAAGTAGGACTTTCAAAAGTCAATTAATTTTAAGCATTTGAAGAACGGCATTAAATTGTTCATGTTAAATTTTCTATTTAGAGGTTGTTGCTTAAATTTCTAAAGTTGAATTTGAATGAAATAGATGGCTGAAATTAATCGATTCTACTGAGAATACCCCAATTAATTTAAATGGTATATCAGTGTAATTTTTAACGAATGCGTTATGTATCGGAATATTTTAGTGTCGTTATTCGGCCACACTGGCTGATACTCGAAAAATAGAAAAAAAAAACGTTACAATCAAACGAAACGAAACGCATTTACCAGCCGTAAGATAAATCGGGAAAAATTCGCAAAACTGAATAAAAGGAGATTGTTTATTTATCAATTAAAAATAATTGCCAAAAATAAAGTGAGATTACAAGGGACAAGTGCAATCGGAGTTGGTAGCTTACGCACACAAGCGTATTCGTATTGAATTCCAGGAGAGCGACACGCACACACAGGTGCTGAGCAGGAGCCACGACCAGCTGTTGTTGGATGGCATAGCGGTACATTTTGGGTAAGCAATCGCAGTCGCAATCAATACGCTCTATTTTGTTAGTCTCTCTTTATTTGGTTTTCAGTCAAATCAATTATTCAATGCCAAAGCTGCAGGTCCTTTTCCCTGTTGCCGCTTGACTCTTTCCCTCCTTCTCTCTCGCTCTCTTTCTCTCTATGCTTCTTGTTGATCCGCTGACGGTTTATTGACCGACAAGCAAGGGAAGAAGAAAAACGTACGTGCGGTGCGCCACTCTCCCTTTCCCACTCCCACTGCCCGTGTGTGTGTGTGATAAGGCGCAATAAGTGTGTCACACAGACGCGCTTTTGTGTTTCAAAGTGGAGCACACACTGTGTGTGTGTATCCCTTTCACACGAACACTCACAAATGCTAATGCATTGCCTGGCTTCTAATTGTGCATGGTTTAAAACTCATATTTAAGTGGCATTTCACCTTTCTTTTCGCCCCTTTCTCCTGTCACAGTGGCATTGCCTACTGTCGAGGGCCGCACACTCACTTTCGTCGCCATTTATTTTTGCTTTTCTGCTGGCGCCTCTCTCGCCGCAAATAAACACGCCAATTATTTGTATTGTCAACTGTTCCTCACACACACTTGCAAAAGCGCAGGAGATTAGTGTGAGGAGACTTAACCCACTTCTGCCCACGCATTTTTTTGGGATCAGCGAAACTGGTTAATTGAAAAAATTAAATGTAATAATAATATTTAAAATAGTTGTGATCAGTGTTTAGTGTTCGTCAGTCAGACATTTCTTATAGAGCCAGAATTCCTTTATTTTAATATAAACTCCGATATATTAATTCGCTTTTAAACAAGAAAGGCAGTAAACTTCGGCAAGCCGAAGTTTATATGCCCTCGCAGCTATTGCACAAATTAAATATTCTTTTAAACGACTATATTTCGATTTGTATGTTTTAAAACAGTGAAGCTTTTAAGAATATCCGCTGAATTTTTCGATCGTTCCTATGTCAGCAATATGATACAGTAGCCAAATTTTTATAAAATAAAAACCGTAATATTAAGACAAAAAGAAGGTGTCCTTTTTTATTTTTAATTTTCCTGTTGTTTATATGGGTGCTATATTATATAGTCCTTCGGTTTTAATAATATTAAAACCATAGTACTGGATATATTTTCCTTTTTAAAAACAAAAAGTAATTCCATGTAAAGTGTTCTTACAAATTTATCTTCTCTTTTTAAGATGACTATGAATATTTTGTACTTTATTCCGATAAAACGAGCGACAGCAGCGGTCTTTGTTGATTCAGCTGTTGATTGATTGATTGATGGCCAATCGGCGCAAACAAGCACAAAACCCATACATGCAGGGGACTAAGTTTTGCAGACGCATAAATTTCACTCAAAATGTTGGGCGATTGTCTGTTCTCCTCCTCTTTTAGGCCCTTTTATCACCCTGTTCCATTGCGGATTGCATGATGGCGTGTAATCAAACATTGAAATTAATCAATCAATCGTATTTTGGTTGCATTATCGATTCTAAATCATACTTTACTAGAACCACTGACCCAAATCGAATTCGGTTCCAAAAACTTGGTTTGTGGAAAATATACATTATTGAGATTGTAATTGCAAGATTACACAATGTAAATGGGTTTTTTCATTTCAGTTGTTAAGAAACGAGGGAGAAAATGTATTTAGGCAAGCTGAAGTTTATTATTATTATTATTAACTGAAAAACAATATTTGTCCGATTTTTGTACAGTTAAAAATATACTTTTTCGCAGATTCTTTTTATAAAAATAATCCGATTCTTTTAATGCCAGTTCCTTGGGATTTTTATACAATTTAGAACGTATTTTAAAATTGTAATAAAATAAATATATATTTTATCTAAAAATCAACGAAGCTATATAATTTTTTCTATAAATTGTCATATCGGCAGCTATCATCCAATCTCAGCAATTCCGGATTATTAATTCATAATTAATTACTATATGCAATAGAGAGAAGAACGTTTTAACCATGTGAGCATTCAGCACAATAACAAATGTATAGAAGAAATGATCCATCACCCAAGCACTATGTGTGCCATTTGTGATAAACATTTACTGCACTAATAAAGGCCATTTATAATTCATTCAGTTTAATCGTATAACTGTCATTTATAGAACTGATATCCCCAGATATTAACGCGATTTGCAAGGGTACAATTATATCTTGTTCCATATACGATATTTGCTGATGTATGTTTCAGTTGTTTGGGCTCACATTGGAATGGATAAAAAGGCAACGCTATCAATATGTACGTACATCTATCAAAATAATAATTACGGGGCGTGGTCGATAGCTGGGTGTCGACGACTTGTGCAGTAACTCTGGCTTCTAGGCCCCAGTCGGTATACTCTAGGGTCTAGACTTCTAAACCTCTAGACCTCTAGACCTATCCCCATAATTTTTCTAACGTTCCTCGACATTGTTTGCCCTGTGTCGCATTTTATCGTTGTTTATCGTGAGTCGAAATATGCAAATTGGACCGAATTGCTGCCTGCCTGGTCGAGGGGTGTGGGCACAAAAGATGTTCCAGTTACAATGGTTAACGACATGAATGCTACTAATTTTTCTATTGAGACAGGGGGCCCACCCACGCCACCCACCCATCCTAAGCGGCCTTGATTGCCTGGGTGTGGGTGTGGGTGTGGGTGTGGAACGCTAACCCGTGATGTGCAAGTGGCTGGGATCCTTTCGTTTCGCTTCACTATTCCCTTAACATAAAGTATTTCCGTTTTACTAAAGACGTTGCAATGTATTAATTAATAACAATAGAAAATAATGGATAAGAAAGTGTAATACAAAGGGTAATATAACATACATATAGGTAATGCCTATTGTAACAGGCCACAATACAAGATTTATTTGAATATATTATGATCCTTTCGTTCCACTTCGTATGACATCAAAACAAAGTAAAAACAAAGTATAGTTAAAAGGGTACTACTTGAATGTTAATGATCTTCCATAGAAAATAAGGTTTTAGAAAGCCACTAAGATGTATTTGAATACTTTAAGAGGCATGTAGTAGGGTAGTGTATTCATAGCTACGATTTACCAATCGAAACAATCCAGTTTATTCTTTCTGTCCCGATTCCATTACGATGTCGAACAAACGACAACAAATCGCGACCTGACGTGATAACAAATAACCGCAAACTGTTCACTGTTCTTGCCAACAGAATTTGTATTGTTCGGTTGTTCAATAAATGTACATAATTTGAAGCACCCATCGGTGGCCAATTCCCCTCTCCTCTCGCCCCTCATCCCTCGCCCAATCCTATCCCAATAACAATGGGCCGTCGTGAGGAGGAGCCATCAATGTCAACCCGTGTAGTTCGCTTTGTTGCCTCCGACGGGCAAGTTGAATTGGAGCAGGAGCAGGAGCTGGAGCAGGAGCAGGATCGGGTTAACCGGCCTATTGTCCCAGCTGTCTGCTGTCCAAATCCCCGGGATCCCGCATTAGCATGTGCTCATCCGTTGGCCTGGTCGTCGAGGGCATTCCACTGGGCAATGGCCGCCAGTTTGCACCCCGGTTGACTATGAAAAAGGAGTACAATACCAGGTGCTTTCGACCGGAACGCTATCGTCACGAGGTGGCCAATCACTATAGGGACTACAAGCTGCAGCAGCATCTGCATCAGCAGCAGCAGCAGCAGCAGCAGCTGGGATCCGGAGCCGGATCCTTAGGCCATCGGCGTCACAGGAGGCGAAGGCGTCAGTTTTTCGAGCGCACGATGGAGGCATCTCGAGTGACCGCCTCATTAGCGTCGCGATATGCGCAGTTCCGCGATGTGTGGCCAACCCATGTGCACTACTTTCCCAGGTGGGTGGTCTTGATGGTCGTTCTGGTTGTGGGTGTGTGGAGTGTGGGGTGTCTGGTTGTGGGGTGTGTAGTGTGGGTGACAATTTACGCTTATATAGTGCCTGTCGGGGAAGGGTGGCTCTTTGACAGTTGCTGCCATAAATATAGGTTGGGTTCCAACTGAACAGCTCGTTGTCGCGTTATTTCCGACCCATCTCCGTAGCTCGAGTTACGTGGACTTGCCATATCCTTCTCCTCTCTGACGTCAGTGGTTAGTTTCAGTCGGTTTCTGGCTGGAAATCATCGACCACACGGCTGCATCCTTGCAGGTGGCTTTCGGTTTCAAACACTCCCAAGCCAACGTCACTCATCTGTTATTTAAATCGGAATTAATTAATTTTACTTCTTATTGCACTCCAGAGAAAGCTCTTATGTAGCATTTCTAGTAAAGGGAAAGAATCAATTAAAATAAGTTTAAGAGAATGGTGGGTCTGTAAGAAGAAGGCTTTTAGAAAGAATTTATCCACAGAGTGATATTAAGTAGTTAGCTATTATACTTGCTACTCGTAGAGTATTGGATTGTATTCGTTGAATAATATAAAACAAATAAAATAAAACATGTATAATCTTGATCAGAATCAAGAAGTCTGTTGTGTCACTTTGAGACATGGTAGAAGTCAGTTATTAAGTTTTGTGTTTGTTTATTCGGTCAATAGCTATTAACTCATACATAAATCTTTCAAATTGAAGTATATTTTTAGAAGTTATTAGCATAAATGTAAGTTTTCGGTAGATGCCGACAACTAAAACCTGATCAAGGATCAAAAAGAAAACATAGAACAATTAAAATAAAATTTCAATCAACCCCAATGATATGCACATTAATCTTTTACATTGCTATTAAATCAAAACGTGTTATACTTAGATTCAATGAGTAATTTCGGTTACACTTTAAAACTTTCTACATGTTGCACATTGTAACTTGCTTATCGATCTGATATTTAAAAAGTTTCACATTTCGCAAATGAATGTTACTGATACTAAGATACTCAAATGACATAAAACAAACAAACAAAAGGGTGTCCGTAAGTCATTAACCCCGGGTTGGGTAACCACTCATTAAGCCAACCGGCTGATAAACAACACCCAAATTGTGCTTTGTGCTTGAGATAGTGAAGCTAGACAAATTCATCTGCTTGATTTTTGTGTACCCAAGAAATTAAAGCGCTATCTTTGGAGCAGGTGACTGCCAGTTTTCCCTGAGGAGCGGTGGTTGGTTGGCTTTTTAATTATATTACAGGTGCGGGTTACGGGTAAGGGGTACGGGTTACGGGTTACGGGAATGGTCTACGGACTAGGGTCTACGGGTAACGGACTGAGGCACGCTTGTTTGCCCGCTCGTTTGTCGTACGTGTTTGCATTTGGCATTGTAATTAATGTTTTGTTTGGTTCCATTCTATTTTCTGCCCACGATGTGTATGTACATACATCCATCCATATAGCGCCCGACTAATGACCAATGACCGCTTCCACTAATTACAGATCCGACGATACTGCGTATGCGTCCCGTGGCCGACGGACAGTGTGCTCCGGAGCGCCGCCCGACGACACCTACAACGACGCAGTGCGTCGCATAAGGAGCGCCCACAGCTGCGAGCAGCTGCGTCACCTGGTCCACCGGATTCCCTGGCAATGGAGCACCTGCACCGGCAATGATGACCTGCCGCCAGTGGCCACCGCGCACGGAAGCCAAACTAATCATAAGCTAAATATTAATAAGCGCAACCCGGCGGCGGAAGAAAGCCCACAACAGCAGCAGTTGGCAGCAGCAGTGCCACAAGTGGACTTCTACGGCTATTTGCAACTTGCCAGCGGCTATTACGAGCGGGGGTTGCAGGCCAACATCAAGTACCTGCAATCGATTGGCCAGCAGCAGCGGCAGTGTCGTAATGCAATAAGGTCGTCGCCGGCGAACTTATTCACCGATTCGGACGCAGTGCAGCACGGCGAGAGTCCGGTGCGAAAGCTGACCGGTCGACTGGTGCAGCTGCTCAAGAGCTTGCGACGCAGAACGGCCAAGGAGGTGGCCGACGTACCGGGCATCTGGGTGAACATACGAGCGGTCAAGCGAGGGGAGCAGCAGCAGCAGGAGCAGGAGCAGCAGCAGGAGCTGGACTTAGACTCGAACTCAGAGGAGGAGGAGGAGCTGAACGAGGAGGCGACAGCAGAGTGGTCAACGGCTAGCATGTGTGATTATTATGCCCCCGGCTATACAACTACGGAATCAGGAGGAGCATCAGCCAGAGCAGCCACCGAAGCCACATTCGTAGCCCAAGCCCAAGACCAAACCACAACTACAAACACATTCACATCCACATCCACATCCACAGATCAACGACGTCTGTACGAGATCATCGACAATCTGAGCCACCTTGGCATCGGCGACACCAGCAGCAATAGCAGTAGTGGTAATCGCAGGGAACAACTGACGCTGACGCTGCCACAGATCACGCTCACCGACTGTACCGCTCAACAGGTGGCGCTGTACAGCGCCAGTTTCGACATTGTCACACTGCAGATACCCAACGAAGCCAGACCACCGTACCTCAAAGCCTGAAACCTGAAAGCCACGTAGAATCAATATATATATATATATATAAATATATATATATATAGAGGGGAACAATCGACAATTGAATCGAATAGAAGAGAAGAGAACAGAACAGAACCGAACCGCATTAAATCGAATCGAAATAACTGAAAGCGATAGCGAGCAGCCCACAACAGAACGGAACAGATCCCAAAGGCGCGCGCACGTCAACGGAAATCGTTTATATGCTAAGTACAAAAAAACAATTGTTTATAACAAATAGAAAAAAGCAGCATACTGACAAAACTGAAAAACTAAATAACTAAAAAACAAATAGTAAAATAGTAAAACAGTAAGATAGCAAAATAGCCAAAATAGTGAAATAGCGAAGCTTGCGCTCTCGAACAATGGTTGTTGTTGTTGCCGCTGCCGACGTCGTTGAAAACAGCAGCAGCAGCAGCGGGAGCGGGAGCGGTAGCGGTAGCGGGATCGGCGACAGCAGCGACGGTATCGTAAGCGGTAACACTGAGCTTCAACCATTTGGCGGCGGTACACCACAAGCAACGGCAGTCAATAACAATCATAGTGATAAGAACACTACAACAACCACAACAACCAAAACAACCACAACAACAACAAAAACAACGACTGGTCAGGAGGAGCGGGAGGAGGTGGAGGAGCAACTGCATCATCCAGAGGATACTCAAAAGGATAATCATCAGGAGTTGGAGAACAACAATTGCAGCAACAACTCGAGCAACATTGCCAACAACAACAACAACAACATCATGACGGATGCGGCCAAGGGAACCGTGGCGACAACCACAGGCACGACGGGATCATCGGAGGCGGCGGCGGCCATGCCCACCAAGAGCGCCGTCAGTCAGCGGAACGTGGACATCAAGATCGAGAAGAGCAGCAACATGGAGGCGGCCACCCAGCAGCTGACCAAGAAGGTTCTCAAACTGGATCTGGGCGGCAAGAATCTGGACGAATACTCGCTCAAGTCGCCCAAATCTCCCATAGCTGGTCAGTATACCATCCCGGGGGAGTGGAATTTATCAGCAATGAATTCGCAAGCAATCAAAGATCAATCAAACAAAGATTACAAAACATTAAAACAATCAATTCAAAGTTTAGGGGAAAAATGTTCGAGTTTTTGCAGTTTTTTTTTACCTCTTTTTTCAAAGGCCATTTAATTTTTGTTATTTATTTTTCATTTATATGTTTCCTATTACTTCTCATATTTTTATTTTACAAAAATAATTCATAAAACTTATCTAAAAACACGGTACAAGAAATACAATACAATTAAAAAAATAAGCTTTCATGCTTTGAGCAAAATACCTTTTTTTTTCTATAATGAATTATTATCTTAACATCCTTTCACAATAAATTCAGTCTTTATCATTCTGATAAACATTATAAATCACTTCAATAAAGTGGATAGTATTGGTATTTTTGCGACTGCCGCCTTGTTAACTCCAAATAATAATTGTTAAAAATTTATAAGTAATTTATTTTAGACCTTCGGCTAATTAAACTGAATACCGGAATCGGTATATATATCATTGAGCTCATTGAAAAGGCGCCTCAATTGGATGGCAAATTCCATTACTGCCTTTCATCGAGCTTAATTAGTTTGGCCTGGAAAGCATCACAGACAGTGCGTTTCGGCATTTTATTGTTAGCATTGCAATGCACTAAGAACCAAGTTGTTTATAATTTGATTCATCAAATTTACCGAGTCAGACAACTGGAGAAAAAATGCTGATAAGTGACTGTTTGTTTTAAAATTAATTCCAGGGAACTTTACGATTATTTTCTTTTTCTTTTGATTCCCCCACCGGAAGAAATAAACGCAAAACATTTGGGTGTCTTATTTCATGTATAATTTTTTTCTAATGAATTTTCAAAGAGATTTATATATTTACTAAGACCTGATATTGCGACAAATTCAAAAAAACAAAATCGTATTGGAAAACGTATTGTCTGATTGGCTTAAAATCTTCAAATTAAATTTAAAAAATATATCTAAATTAACTAAAATATCTGTTAGAAAAATGGAAATATAATATAAGTGTTTGCATTCGATGCTTACTTACTTGAGCCTGACAAAACAAAATACCAATCGAGCCACTCAAATGTATGGTTTTAAGTGATTTGAAGTCACTCTTATTACTTGGCAATTTTAAAGGAAGCTTATCACACATTTGAAAGCTTTTACGTCATTTATTATCCATTATTTAGTCTGCAAATTGAAACAAAATATATTTTATCAGATATTCTGTTTTGTTTGAAGTGCACTTAAATATGAGCATAAGTGTATTATACACATTCCGAATTCTTCATACAAAATCCATATAGAGTCTAAAATCTTAATTTAAAATCTTTTTTGAGGGTGTGTCTACAGGCGATAAAATTCCTTCTTTTATGTTACTATTATTATTCCCTGAATTTGCCCACTCTCTTCGGGGGAACTTATCAATTGCTCTTGACCTCTTTGTTGTGTATTAATTCAATCGTTTTCATAAGCGTTTAATGTTTGCGCCAGCAATCTGACCTTATTGCCAGATTAAACCTCCTCGGGGCGCGTTTCTTATCGCATTTAATATTATTAATTTTGATTGCGGCCCGTTTGCCGTTTGCTGTTTGCCATTTGCTGTTTGCTGTATTCTGAAATTCGTTTTGTGTACTCCGTTTGTATTCGCAGCACGTTTGCCGCATCAAACATCGCTGACGTCGTCGGTGGACGTGGAGGACCGGAAGACATTACGAGAGGCCTTATACCAGGGTATATTCCATCGCCATCGCCGCACCATCTTCGCCGTGGGCAGCTTCCTGCGGATGCTGCGCAGCCGCAATTCGCAGTACAACACGATACGCAGCTCGTCGGAGGGCGAGGACATCGATGAGGTTAGATAAGACCCAACCCAAAATATGCACCCCATGTATGATCCCACGCCCATTCCGCACATCTTCATCAGCAGCAGCGGCAGCAGCAGCAGCAGCAGCAGCAACAGCAGCAGCAGCAGCAGCAATCGAAACAGTTGAAGCACCATCAACCGGAGCTGGAACAGTCGCATGAACATCTCCAGCCGCCCGGGCAAGAAGTAACGACCACATCCACATCCAGATCCAGATCCACATCCACATCGACATCCACGACACCACCACCAACTGGACAGCAGGGAGCATTGGACTCGATTTAGATGGCCTTGCTGCTTGAGTTGAATTTTGGATTTATTTATTAGCCCCATACGACATTCGCGTATTATTAACTGCTATTTTACGATTTACGAATTACGATTTACGATTTACGAATTACGATTATTGTTAAACATTGTGCAACCATGAGACTAGCCACCCGTTGTGTTAGCATGTAGTGAGCCATATTAGTTCCGTAGCTAGTACTATTGTTGGCGGACCCATGTGACCTGCTGACTCCATTACCCAAGAAATGAAACCAAAAATCCCGAGGATCCGCTGCAAACACATCTCGTTCGTTCATTCTTTGAGCAGATCGCCTTATCTTAACTGCGACCCACTTAAGCTAAACTTAAACTAAACTAATAACTGAATGTGAACCCAAGCTGAACTTGAAACTCTTACTACGTACATGCTATGTATAAAAAACCAAAAAAGACAACTTAATTGTATTAAACTCGCATTGTTTCAGCGCCCAGCTCTCAGTATTTATGTAAAAATGCCGCCCCATTTGTCCGTCTGTTTGAATCACTGATAATAAACTGCCCAAAATGAGTTAGTCCCATCAATTGACTAGAAATTACCATTTTCTATTAGGTAGAATATAAGAAAATCCTTTTCGAATTGGCCGGTGCATGTTAGAAGTGCAGTGCAATTTACAATAAATTTGTACGATTTTTTTCTACATTAATATTTCTTTGGATTAGCCTTATAGGTTTATCTAAAACAAGAGTGCAATTAAAAAAAAAATTATTTATAATATCTACAGAAATAGGACTTAAAGATTTTAAAAGGGTTTCAAAAATAAACTTCATCAAGTTTTCTAATTTTTATATTTAATTATTTTGAAATTGCGCGGGCTTAAAAAATAATCGAAAATAAGTAATTGAGTTTTTTATATCAAAGTTCATACTTCACTTACATAAATACTTACAGGGTTTCAAAGCTAAAGTACATTCATTACGTATAAACCTTCTTCAGCACGCCTTTAAAATAAAATCAGAGTGCTGGGCAGCCAAATAGTCGAGCGATAATCGACTATAGTTTTTTTTTTTTACTGAATCTTCAGTTTATTCCATTCCATTTTTTTGTAAGTCATTGAAAATTCGTTGGCATTCGTTTTTCATTGCAAAGGGAACAAAACTTATAAAGCCGCACGTCGAAAAAATGTTTTTTAAACGATGAACAAATTGATATTTTGCGCCTAGACCTAATATATATATATATATATATATGTAGCTACTATATACGATATATAAACCCATATATACAGATATATTTGAATGTATATGGCCTAGTTATAGAACATACACGATTGTTGTTGTCCCCATAGACATGTTATGTGAAATTAACTCTGATTTGCGATCCCACACCCAGAACACACACACACACCCACATCTATTTAATAGTGTAATTATATATTTTAGATCATTTTTTGTTTTTTGTTCATAGTACACACCTTACGTTTAGAACTAATTGCATAGTTAGCGCTTTAAGATGACATTTTGTACAGGACAAAGACAATGGAAATGAAAATCGTTGCATGACACAAAAAAAAAAAAAAAATGATAAACTGTACCGTAGTTCACTTCTTAAGACACCCCACTTACACTTACACCCGATACTCTATTATTTACCCGATTCGATTTAGATTGAAAGAACAATAAAACCCAAACAAATGCTAGTTACTGCTTTACGTTTCATTATTTGAATTACCACCAGGGATTACGTTTCCATCTCGATCTCTCTCTTTAATTTCAGTTCCTCAAGCGGCGTGGCTCGAAACTCCGGCGAATTCCGCACCTCTTCGATCGCTGAGTCTAGTAATTAGAATTGAGAACAGTCTAGTAATTAGAATTGAGAACAGTTGCGAACAGTTGGGAACAGTTGAGAACAGTTTGTGTTATGCTGTCAGCCGAGTCTGGGCCAAAAGAGGGTAAAGTTAAACACTGGCGGAGTCCAGGGCTGTGGCAGCGATAGAGGTGCTGGCCAACTGCCACCAAGGCTGGTTAGGAAATCCTGCAGAGGGTTAAATATGTTAAATATTTAATAAATATGAAATACGTTACAAATATGCTCTCAAAGTGGAATTTGAAAGACATCGATATCATCAAATAGGTCTATGGAAATTAACAAATATACTACGTTTAAGTTTTGACTCTGTTTTATAGATCTATGGAATGTGGAACTAATTTTATGTTTTATTTATATTTATATATTATCTATCATTAAACACTGTATGCAAAAGCATAATCAGAATTTGAATAGACATTCATACTAAAAACATATTCAAAGTTTACAATATATTATAATATCTAAAGCAAATTCAATTATATTTTCCTACATCATATTACAAGCTTGATTTTTAGAGCATAATAATTTCTTAAAGCAAATCTCGAAACTTTCAAATTTTGGGAAATCGCGAATCAGTTCGAAAATGCAATGCTCGATGGATTGTTTTTACAATAGTTTTAGATGAGTTGAAATCATTTCACACTTTTATTTAATTTATTCAACTATTTTATACTAAATGTTTCATTCATTAATATATATTTGACTTTAAAAATAAATTAATCGACTTAAAAAATGTATGTGAAAATATAAAAATGGGCGAATGTACGAGGATTTAAGAAATACTTTGTACTTTGTAGCTGTCTTCGGCCAAGGTGGCCATCAACGTTGGATAATTGGATTAGTTTTACATGTCGGTGCAAAGTATAAGCCGCGAATTCCTTAGCTGGTTGTATTTTCAATGTCTTAAAAAAAATTTTGTAATCCCACAAGTATGACGTAATTCAACGTACCGCATTTTCTTTGGTGTCAATTGATCATTTTATAATTCGCTTAAAAATCCAAAAGTTTGACACCAATGTATATCATTAGCTACAAAATAAAAAAAATATTTTTTAAGGTAAAAAAATGTTATTTTTAAATTCTGGCAAATGGACCCTGTTTTAACCAATCCAAAAGTTTGTTGGTCATTGTATGTAGGTAGGACTTATTCAAGATGATCAAATGCTAATTTGTCAGCAGTTTTTAAAAATTTTGTTTTTATTTTTAAATAAACGCGATTAAAGTTTCAGGTGCAGCGGTGTATGCCATTCAAAAACTATTTTAGCTACGACCTTGTTGCTTTTACAGGATATTTGTAAATTTTAAAAACCGATTGGGTAAGAAAAATAGATTTAAAAAAAAAAAAGTTCGACTGTTAAAGCCTCTTAAATACGGGATTAATACTCACCTGCGGTGGCGGAGCGGCCACCACATAGGTGTCCTCATCGACGGCCTTTTGGATGATGGCCCTCAGGTGGGCCACTTCCCTCAGCTTCTGCTGGGTGACCACCACCTTGGCCTGTGAGGCGGTCGCCGCTGGTGGACCCATCAGATGCTTGGGCGTCACTATCTGACGGCGCCACTTTGTCAGTGGTGCGGCTGAGGCCGAGACCGAGACGAAAAGCCACAAGATCGCCAACTGCCAGCGCATAATGTTGGCCAGCAAGTGAATGCTGTAAATAATAAATAAGCGCAGAGCACTACGGATGTCAGCACTTTTGGCTCGACCTTATGGTGGTTGTCGCAACCAACGAAACACGTCGAATATATGTTTGAGAATTTATTTTAGTTTTTTTTTTTTGTTTTGACAGTGAACACGCAAAACCGTGTTCAGCATAAGTCTTTTTACATATCTCTTAACCAAGGTTTGGGTTGCAAACGCCATACAATTGTATGTATATTGGGCCTGCAGTTAGCCTAAAAAACTGAACACACTTAAACGAAAATGTGAACACACACATGCGAACGGAATCTAGGGATTGGCGACTTCAGCGGGCGCATCCAGCGGCTCATCCTTGATATGCACATCGTCGTCCTCCTGGTCCTCCTTGCTGTTCTCGTGCAGCAGCACATATTCGCGCGAACTGAAGCCGAACTTGATCACGTCCTTCTCCATCAGCTCGTAGTACTTCCTGCCATCGATCTTCTTGTTGTTGAGGAACGTGCCGTTGGCCGACTCCAAATCGATGAGATACAATCGTACGCGTTTGCCGTGACTGCCGTCGTCCCGTTCGAAGGGCACCAGTCGATACTGCAGGGCCGCATGCTGTTTGGAGCAGCTGGGATGATCCACGGCCAGGTCGACCACCTTGCGGTCGCGTCCCACCAGGAAGCAGCTCTGCCGATGGATGTGCAGCGTGGGCAGTGCCGTTTCGCCCTTGAACGGATACAAACGCCAGCGGCGCTTGGGTTTGCGTGCCTCCGGCGGCTCTGAGTATTTGACCACCACACCATTCACCTTGTTGGTGTCCTCGGTGAGGGCGCCGCTTAGCCCGAAATTGGGCTTCTCCTTCTCCACCGGCTCCTCGTCCTCGGGCGGCGCCTTGTCGTCGCCCTGCTTTCCCCACTCGAACTGCTCGTCCTCGTTCCTGTTGCGATTGTCGCGTCGCTGGTTTCGCTGCCGTCCCTGGCCAAAGTCGCGTCCACCACGATGGTTGCGATCGCGGGGACTTCGACTGCGACTGCGACTGCAAAAGTGAGAAAATGTGAAAATGTGGCTTAATTGGAGGTCAACTACATAAATAGCTGCGATTGGAACTTCTACTTTGAGTTTAATAATCAAATAACCACCTTATCCGTCTATTTAAATCACAAATAATTACCAAAAGCGACATGGTGCATAAATTGTCATAAAAAAGACATACATTACTATAAAATACAAATTCTTTTAGATTAAACCCTTAGAGTACGGATGCTAATAAATGTTTGCGGTTGGAGTATCTAGTAGAAATCGGACAATTTACAAGTATATTGCAATAAAGATGATTATTTCAGTTTCAGATATATACAAAAACCTCTAAAAACGATTATATCGAATTTTTGAAATTAAAAACCTAAAATAAAAATTATTTGTGAATTTTGTTCATAAAATTAAAGTATCTTTAAGCTTCTGGTACTATTGTGGTATGAATGGAATTTATCTTCGTCGTTAAGGCATTTAAGCATCAAATTATGTTCATTGTGAGCTTAGAGTTATTATAATTCTATATTCTATTATTTTATTACCCACAAATGTGAATAAATAAATACAAATAAGTGACCTACCGAACTGGCCTCCTTTCTGGCGATCTCCGCTGGCGTTCCCGCTCCCGATCCTTGCGCTCGTTGCTCCTAGACCGCTGTCGCTGTGCTGGTGATCGCTGTCCTCGGCGCTCCTTGCTGCGCTCCCCGTCCCTCTCCCTCTCTCTTTCCCTTTCCAGTCCGGCGCGCTGCATGCGATTGTCTCGCTCCCGCTCCCGCTCCCTATCGCGATCGCGATCACGATTCCGCTCCCTGTCTCTGTCCCGCTCGCCGCGTTCCCTGTCCCTGTCCCTTTCCCGCTCGCCGCGATCCCTGGAACGGCTGCGACTGTGCCGGCGCTGCTGCCTGGTGCTGTTGCGATGGGAGCCGCTGTGCTCGGGACTGTCCCACTTGGAGCGCTGCTCTTGCAGCTCCTCGGCGGGCTTTGCCGGCGGCTGTTTGGAGCGCTTTTCCAGGGCCTCCGGCGGCGAGTGGCGCGCTTTTCTGCCGGTCTTGAACTGCTTTTTGCCGGGCGAGAGAATGCTGCTGTGATTGGAGTTCCTGCTTGAGGAGGAGGAGGAGGAGGAGGAGGAATCCTCCGACGAACTGGACGAATCGAGGCCCGCCTTTCGCATGGCTTTCTTCGCCTTCGATGAGTTGCGTTCGCTCTGTTTGGTGTCCGCCTCGTCGCCGCTGGAGGAGTGCGGCTCCTGGTCCCGCTCCCGGCTGCGTCGTTTGCCCATTTTCAGTGACAATGCGGTGGGTTGTACAAAATGAATTTGGAAATCAAATATTACAAAAAATGCCTTTATTTTTTATATGCCGTCAGCTGTTTGAAAAAAGTGTGTGACCAAGACAGGCAAAAATACCAAGCAATTGTCACGTGCGTGGAACGGTGGAATTGAAATATGTGATATTTAAATGAATTTTGAATGAATCGACTTAAATTAATAGGTACTCCGTTTAAAACAATATTTTTGTCATTTATTCATATCTTTAGTACGTACTTGCATAACATAACAATTTCTATATATATATTTTGTTTAATTAAATTAACCAAAATAAAAAAAATGTATTTCTCAACTTTATATATCATTACTGGGATATTGATTTTCGAATTTAACCTAACTAATCGTTTAATTGACAGATAAAAGCGTATATAGCATCGCAAGTTGCCGCATACACATAGCTTTTGTTCATGGCAAGGCAATCTTTAGAAGCGTTTACAATGCGTACTCTAGTTTCTGAACTCAATTTTATAAACTTTGGTACTTCCTCGGAATCTTTGGATAAATACTCGCCGTCTTTCAGCCGATCGGTAAAGCCGATCCAGTAAGAGGTATTTTTCCTAAGTTCCGTTTGAATGACGTCATATTCTTCTTGATTTTGGAAGGTCGCCAGAAAATCTCCCTTTTTCCGACATATTTGTTCGGCTTGAGTCCAAGTTCTTGCATTATTATGCTCAATAAAGAAAAATCCCTATCCAATTTGCTTAAATTCAGCCGGAACAGTTCTTATCCTGGCTATAGGTCTGCTTTCAAACTTGGAATCATTTCTGTGTATTTGTGGTTCAATTGTATCTTGCTTTCTCTGCGATATGTCCAATTTCCCCTCTTTTTCATTCAAAATGCGTTTTAAAATCGACAGAGTTTCGCGTTGAATTTCGTTTTGAATTTTTTGATTTTCAATAATGGTGTTTAAAAGATTAAATTTTTCAACCAACTAAACATACAAATTTAATGATTTTTATAAAATAAAGCATATAAAAAAAAAAAAACAGGAAAAAGTACTTCTTAAGGAGTTTGATAGAGTAAAAAACCCTCCTCAAAAAATTGTGCATACGTCACTGTGACTTCTGATGGATGGCGGAAGGTGGCTCAGTGGGAACATCAGTCCACCTGCCATCAAAAATCCCAGCTGTTTCGGTTGGATGGCCTCTGTGGGACTGGGCTATTAGGCGTCTTCAAACACTGTAATTTTTTAGATATTTTTTCGTTGATCTGATTTCCAATGTTCCAATTTCGGTACCATAATCGCCTCTAGGTACCGGCGTTACCTTGACGGCCATCTTAGTTGTAGTCTAATCAAAAATACTACATTACGTATTTCGCGTTAGGCCATCAGCAATTGGTATTGCTGCAATTGGCCGCGCCTGGTCACACAGCCAAAAAGCCGTGCGAAAATCGGGCGAAATTGCAGCGAATTCCGGTGGCCATGCCATGATAATTGTAATTTAATCCTCCGGAGTCCGGAACGCTATGCTGTTGTGCGGCCTGCAGCAGCTTTCGTAATTAGCAACTACTGCAGTTGCAGTTGCCGTTGCAGTTGCCGTTGCAGTTGCCGTTGCAGTTGCAGTTGCCCACAACTCACAACACAGTGCAAGCAAGCGTTTTTTTTTTGCGAAATCCAGACGCGTCTGGATAGCCAAGATGACACCCTTCGATGACTTTGTCTATCTGATCAATCATGTGCTGCTGGGCGAGGAGCCGGTAAGCTATAGGCTATGCCGTATGCCATATGCCGCCGATCCCCATCAGATAATTTGATAATTTGACCCTGTCCATCAGACCATCGAGGATTTCATACTGCTCGTGGGCACACTGGTGGCGTTCATAGCCTTCATCCTGTGGTGCTGTTTTCCCATCCAACCGAAGGTGGGTTCCGTCCAGACAGACATTCCCGGATTTAAGTGTGGAAATCTATCCGCTTAACTTGTATTTTCCCCTAACAGGAGCCTGGACCACATCGCCAGTTCACGTGCAAAATCATCCAGAATCCCATCAAGGCCTTCGACGCCTCCACCAGCACCGATGATGCCCCCAATCCGGGTGGTAGTGGCTCTGTCTCTGGCTCTGCAACCGGCAGCTCCACATCCACATCCGCATCTGTATCCGCATCCGCATCCGCGTCCAACCCAACGCAATACAATGGCAGCAGTGGCAGTGGAAGCTACAGCAAGAACGGCACCGTGGCCATGCACAACTACTACGTTAAGAACGGACACCATTGCTGCACCTAGGGATGATCATGCCCATCCCCATTCCCATCCGCATCCAAAATTCCCAAAATCCCAACTAGCTACTGTCCATGTCCAAGGCTGGACAGGATGTTATGTTACACACAGCACAGAACTCGGAATACAAGAAAACGCCTTTAGTTGCCATTTTTGGAGCACAGCCATCCGTATGCGGAGGGCATATCGATTGAGATTTGTGCCAATTGGTTCGACAGGTTGTTAGGTGGCGGCTAAAAGCTGCCAGTTCGCATTCGCAGGCAGGCACATTTGAATTGCAATTGCTCAGACTGATTTGTTTATGGAACATGAGAAGGATAAGAATTAGGAGAAGGATAAGGAGGAGATGGATTTGGAGTTGGGACAGGTGGCAGGTGGCAGGGTCAAGGCCGCACACACATAAACACACACACTCAGCAGCCCCTGGCAAGTTTCTAAAACTTCCTTGATATTATCTATATATGTTGTGTGCATTTGTGGACATACGAAATGTAGTATGCCTATTTGTGTAAAGAAATTGAAACTGGGTATGAAAACCAAGCAACTAACTTTAGGTATTTATTTGTGTAAACGATTCGCTTAGCCCCAGAGAAACTCAAGACAATTGCGAACACATTGTGTGCAAACAAAACAAAACAAAGCAAAACAAAACAAAGTATCTATCAATTATGTTCAGTCGGGGTGGAGGATTAAAGATTCCCCTCATATACCTATATAAATATATATATATATATATCTTTAAGATACATTATGTACACACCCAGATACACACCAATTAATTAGCATTAGGTATTTGCCCTCGAATCGCCTTCGATTTCAACATTTTTGATGTGTATTAAGGTGTATTTTTGATCTCATTTAATGATTTATTTATTTAATTGTGATGTAACTTCAAGATAATTCCCATTCCCATACTTCTCCAATTGCGAATGGTTTGTACCATGCCCCACTAAGAAGCAAATGAAACTAAAACCTAACGACAAATCGTGTGTTATTTTTGTTCTTCGTTTTTGTTTTTCGGGATCCAATCAGTTTCAGTTACAAAACGGCCCTCAAGTCAAGCCGTCAATGTAGCCACTTGAGCCATAGATAATTCGAAATGAAAGGCAGATTCGGTAACATTTTGCCTTAGGATGTATTTATAAATTAATAACAATGGTATCAAGGGTATCAGATAACGTTAACAAGTAGTTTTTCTATAGCACTAAGCACACATGGAAGCGCACATGGAATATCAACAGAAGGTCTTTTCGTGTGGTTTTGCAATTTTTTGCGTTTTTTTTTTTTTTTTTTTTTTTTTTGTTTTGGCCCTGGGCAGGAAGATGGGTGAATATCGTGGGCACTTTTTTTTTTTAGAGATATGCGTGTGTGTATTATCCTCTTAACTGCTAGTATCTCGTTTTGGGCTTTGGCAACGGTTCAAACATTTATGGATGGTCCTACAGGCTATGGGATATACACAGAATCATCATATATATATATATATATATATATACAATATGTACAACGCGAAATAAATAGATATCGCTGCTGGGAAGCTTCGTCGTCTAAACCTAGACAGTCTTAGGCAATAATCAAAGCGTAAACTAGGGTAAAAAAAAAAATACACAGTATCTACTGGCTTCCGACTTCTGGTTGCACATTCAAATGATAACTACAAAGCAGCATTCTTGTGCCTATCATTTTAGTTAACCAGATCCATATCCAGATCCAGATCCAGTACTAACCGAAAAGTAGTTGCAATGTGGTGGTTTTGCGGCGATGATAGTCTCCTGGTGCCAGCACCAGGATTTCTCTCGGTTCTCTCCCGGTACACTAGCTACTGCAGTCTCTGGGGAAGAAGACATTCATCTCGATGAGGATCTGCAGGACGATGAACACACCGTAGACGGTGAAGAGGGCCACGCCCACGCGCTTGGTGAGGCGATAGCCACTGAAGCTTAGGATGACGAACAGCGCCACCGTAGAGATGATCAGGATCAGGATGTTGTACTCGATGCCCTGGGTGCCGACCTGCTGGGGCTCCCCGGTGCCGTAGTTGATGCAGTTCTTCACGAACCAAGGAACGCCCAGGGACAACAGGATGGCCAGCGAATTGGCGCCCAGCGAGTTCGAAACTCCAATGCCACTTTCACCTGGAAATGGGAAATTAGTCGATATTAGTCGGGCATATGTTCAAAGGTGTTTATTTCAATAGGCCAACATTTATGGGATATTTCTTGTTATATTTGTTGATTGAAAAAACGAATTTTGTAATTGTATAGACAAGTTTTTTTTACTGTATTGACTATAAAAATCGTTATTTGTACGTGGTATCCTGCCCTTATACTTTGTTGTTGCTTAACAATTAACTATTAATAAGCTGTACTATTTTTTTCTGCACCAGCGGTTATTTTGCAATTTTAGTGGTGCTAATACTGTAATTTTTTGTCGCTTGAAACACTTTAACTTTAATTTACTGTGAAATAGTTACGATGATGTATGGTTGATTTGACTGCTTTGACCACTTACCATTTCTCAGCGAAATGAGACTGGAGACGGCTTCCGGCATGGTGGACCCGGCGGCCAGGAATGTCAGACCCATCACAATGGTGGGCACATGGATGGCCACACCGAAGGCAGTCAGCATCCAGACGATCAGGTAGGCATTGCCGCCGATGCACAGGATGCACATGATGAAGGACAACGGGTACAGGCGGCGGTGCTTCAGCGGGTGCGGGATGAGCAGGGATAGCGAGAACTTGATCGGGAAGACGAAGATCCACCAGAACTTCGTCCATCCGGAGGCGTTCCTCGGGTAGACGTATATGCTCTTGGGCGTACTGTCCTCGTCGTCATCCTCTCCGTTCCCTGCGAATTAATAATTATTTTAAAGATTATTTTACAAATTATTTACTTTATAGATTTATTTCACAAATTATTTAGTTTATGGATTTTTTATTCTATAGAATATTTATTTCATATTTATCATAATTTTTGTATACTTCATACATTTATCCATTTGCTTCATTCGTTATTTAATTTATTTATTTTTTTAGTTTATTTATTTTATAGATTATTTATGTTAATTATACTATTTTTTTTTTTTTTGAATATTTATTTTTTATACATTCTTTAACCCGTTACTTATTTTATAGCTGGTTTATTTTATAGATCATTTATTTAATATTTTATTTGCTTTATAGACTTTTTATGTAAATTTCATTTTATAGATTATTTATTTTATTAATTATTTAGTTCCCTTTTTTATTTATCATTAAATATTATTTGAGGATAAATTTGTTTTTTACATTATTTATTTAAGAGTTCTTATGTATTATTTATTTTATAGATGGTCTATTTTATGAATTGTTTTTTTATAGATTATTTATTTTAAAGTATACTGGAAGAACGAAACTTACAGTGCTTGGAGTGCGTTAGGTTGGCAGTGGAGGACATGGACGAGGTGTTCTCGGGCAGATTGACCACAAAGAGGCCATCGCCGGAGAGTGGGTCCTTCTTCAGCGGCAACTGAGCCTTGGCACTGTTCTCTGGGGGCTCCGTTAGGTCTGTTTTGTGGGAATACAATTTATAATAAAAACTCAACCAGGTGTTTACCCTATTTAACGCACCGTATCGCGTGGAGAAGCAGCAGTTCATCCGATCCTCGATGAACACCCGAATGGCGGGCATGAACTTGTTGTTGTTGAACGTGATCAGGTAGTAGAGCACCAGGAATCCCATCATGATGCAGGATTCCGTGAAGCTAATGCTTCCGCCCCAGGCCAAGACCAGCAGAATGATCGTGTTGAAGATGTAGATGAAGCAGTCGCGGGCTATTGGCCACCAGTCCAACTGCACCGGCTGTCAATCAATAGTTAAGGTTAGTAGTTATCTTGCTAACTATTCTTATATCACATTCATATCATATCTATGTCTGGTGATATTTTAAAAATATCATATTTATTTAAAGCATAAATGCTTCATCGTAAGATTATATATTGTATATATGCGCTTATGTAGGGTAATTGGTTAGTGCTTTAGCCTGCCAAATTAATTCGACTATTTATTATAGAAAATTAAAATTTTTGGTTTTTTGCTTTTATATTTGGTTCGTTGATATAAATACAAGAGAAAGTCGCACGTGTTTTTTTAAAAACTCATAAAAATCGTTCAATTTTTTATGGGTTATACTAGTATAGCCCATTTTTTAATTTAATATTAATGCTAAAGGTAATTATGCACATTAAATAGCATGATTTAATAATATGAAATTTTAATTTATTTGGAGAAACTCAATTTTAAATAGTTACTATTTGATTTAAATGAATTTTATTTAATTTAAATATAGTTAAAATTAAAATTACATTTCTGCCATTAAAATCAATTCAGAAAATAGTCAAATGAAAATTTAAAAAAATTCTTTACATATGTTCAGTAGAAAATATTTGATTATATTGTAGTTTTTTAATTTTTACAAAAAATACTCTGAGAAACAGTATTGACTTACTAAATCAGAATTTATAATTAATTTTACAAAAATCGGACAACGATATCATATAGCTGCTATAGCAGCAATCAAAAAATTTAATATTTATTTTGTGTAGTAGCAGCTTCAATTTTTGTTTTCAATTACCACTTAAGGTAGTGCTTACCTTATCGATGGCCAGAGCGGCCAATCCGGCCACGCCCAGTGTGTTGAACATCAGCGATCCGATGATCGTGCCCAGTCCCATGTCGGACTCCAGGATCAGCGTGCTGATGGTGTTCGTGAAGAACTCGGGCATCGATGTGGCCGTGGCCATGAACGTGGCCGCCGCCACGTCCTTCGACAGGTGCAGGTCCTCGCAGATGCACTCCACCGTCGGCAGGAAGTAGTCGTTGCAGATGATGGCCAGCAGGATGAAGAAGTAGACCGCGGCGAAGACGTGCAGCACCACCCAGCCCTGGCGGAGCTGTTCCACTGCAGATTGGAGATGAAAAATCAAAGTATTTAATAAAATAAATTAATAAATAGTTTATTCCATTACAATACCCTGTTAGTGGACATTAAGATTATATATGCCTCACCGTCTCAAATATTTTAGCACGAATAAAACTCTAATGTTCCCTTAATAATATATCCCAAAATTTGTTATGTACTTTAAAAATATATTCCGATGTTCTAAACCCGAATACGGCCACAAATCTTTTACGACTATAGAATAAAAAAAAACTTGCCAATACCAAATATTAAAGGCGAAGTCTAAATATAGTAGTATAGGGCTTAATAATTTAAAAAAAATTCGCTGAAGCAAATGTTCTGCTGAAATCCGGCTAATAAAACTGTCTAAATTGTAATTTGTAGCCCATAGACGACGTCATTGAGTTGATGGTGCCTCCTAAAAAAAAAGTTGAGCTAATTTAGTAACATAGAGAAGAAAATCGCTCAGCGTAGTAAAAACTATTTATCTTTATAGCACAATTCCTTCCCCTAGAAACACCTACTCACAATAGGGCTTCCGCACACTTCACAGATACAGATCCAATCTAGTACACCTGGCAACGGGCAGTGGATTAGATACGCATACGCCATCGATCTCAGTCATTCCCTAAATTTAGACCCGAAAAAAACAGCCTTTTTGTTTGGCTTGAGTTGAGACACCGTGAAAGCGGTGAAATCTTATCAAAATTCCTATAAAAATCTATAGCCCCTTCCCTCCACAGATATCGCCATCTGAGTGAGCTGTAAGTGTTCTGGTTGGTTATTGCCATTGCTATTGCTATTGCTATTTCTATTGCCATTGATAAGAAAGCGTTTCCCCAAGTGCTCGGTCTCGTGCCCATTTGTCCATTTGTCCGTTTGTCCATTTGTCAATTAGTCTGTTTATAACTCCAGTGGGCACTGTTTTTGAACAACCTCGTGGTCGTTTGTCCGTTTTTCGATTTGTCCGTAACTCCAGTGGGTACTGTATTTGATCAGTCTCGTGTTCTTTTGTCCGTTTGCCCATTTGTATGTTTGTCCATTTGTCCGTTTGCCTATTTGTTTGTTTGTCCGTTTTTCCGATTTTTCGATTTGTCCGTAACTCCAGTGGGAACTTTATTTGATCAGCCTCATGTCCGTTTATCCATTTGTTTGTTTGTCCGTTTGTCAGCATTTTTTCGATTTGTCCGTAACTCCTATGGAAACTGTTTTTAATCGGTCTCGTGTTCGTTTGTCCATTTGTCCGTTACTCCAGTGGGCACTGTATTTAATGATGACTTCGTAAACAGACTATGCGGCCTGCCTGATTTATTGGCCATTGAATTGGCCGCTATCGGCGCAGCTGATAGGGCTGAAGCAGGAAAAGACATTGGGCCAAGACACCGGACAGCGTGGATGGTCTACGTCGTCCATGGACAAGTTCAAGTTCGGTTCGTTATCCGCAATCCGAAATCCGGAATCCGGAATTCGGAATCCGGAATCTATTTACAGTGTGTTACCCTTGGAATGTAGTTATCTTAACATAATTGTCAGCGTAACTCACCCGTAAACAGGTCGGCGAACTCGTCCATCGGAGGGGTCACATTTTCGCCAGGACATGTGGCGCGTGGCAGGATGTCCAGGAGCAGCTGCTCGTCGAAATAGCGCAGCGAGACCTCCAGGAAACTGCTCCCGTTGCCAATGGCAGTTGCTGCTGGAAAGACAAGAAACAAGCAGTTAATCGATTGCTCATCGTGGTCTCCACATCCAGATTCAACTCTCCGCGGCCCTGAATCTCTTCCATTGAGAATAATGGAGAATGGAGAGTTCGCCCAACGATAAGATTAAGTCGCGGTGGAGTTTTCTCCACAGACTGACAGCCGTGCAATCACCGCAATCAAAAGCGACGGTTGTAAAATGATTCCAGAATGATCAAATGTTGCCAAGTGGTCGCAAAATAGGGGTATATTGGCACTATTCATGGTTCGGGAGGTTGATCACTATGCTTTTAAATTATTTTCAAAAGGGAAAATAAATTTAGTAGAAAGTTACCTGTCTTACAAACCTAAATCGACAAAATCCTCCAAAGATTGTACCTTGTTTTCCTGATTCAGAAAATGAAACTCAACTTTTGTTGGCACCTCTGTTTTTTTTAGTGTAAATAAAGTTTTTCACCTGTTTTCATGCCTATTTAATTTAAATCTCCGAAAATCAAGCTTTGATCTTTGAAGCATTTTGTCGATTTCAATTTGTTAACCTGTATTAGATGTGATTTCTTTCCTAAAAGTAAAGAATATATAAACCCATAATATTTTTTCTTAGATACATCAAATTCTTGTCTGTTATTATTTTTAAAGGATTTTCAAAAAAACAATTTTTTATTAGTATAAGTATTTCCGATGCAATAAAAAATGTAAAACAAAAATTGTTGTAATAAAATAAATAAAATTGCTTAAAATATGTTGTATCCAAAATAACTTTAAGTAAAATATGATTTTTGTGATAATTTAAATTAAAATCTGAGTTAAATAAAACTCTTTTCCATTTTGTGTTTGAAAATGTATGTTCAATAGCAAACTTTTGTACCATTATAAAACGGGAATTTTTGTCCACGAACTTTCTCTTTGTAGAACTTTCTACTTGACTGTCAACATGGCAACTGAATTGGCTATTGAAATTATTTTTCTTGCGTGAACAATTTAAAATTAAGAGCTTAAATTTATAAATCTTACTATAAACAATTGCACTTTTAACTGGTATTCATTTAAAGTAATCATGTTTCAAAACTGGGACTACCAATTAAGCGGCCATTTAACGTTTAGTTTCAAAAAATCTAAATGTAACTCCTAAAATGTATTATTGAAACGAAATTTTAATTTTATAAATTATTTACTAAATCTCAACTAAATGCGCCATTTGAAAATGTTTAGGCTGTCTTTAAAATCGGAACAAAGTACTTAGCTGTTTACGGGGAAGTGGACCTTTCAGATAGCATTTATGGGCATTTAAGTTACTCATTGTTAGTTCCCGACTATTATGATTTCATTATAATTTCTGCAGTTCGCACGAAACGCTCAAGAAAAAACAAAAGCATTCCATTCATATTCGTGGTCAGATAACCAATTATATAGCCCTGGGCGCAATTAACTTGGATGCCAGTATTAATGCGCCTCTGCTCGATTTTGATTGGCATTTTTTTTTTTTGTTTTTACAACATTGTTTTTAGCTATTTGTTGGTTTCATTGGCTTTGGCTTGGGATTTTACAAAAATTGCATTGGCGGCCGAAAATAAAGGCGACAGTCATGGGCATTCGGCTGATGATTTGTTTATGTTTGTCTGGCTTATTATTGTTATTATTATTGTTATTGTTTTATGATCGCCAATGGGGGGGAGAGGGTTTCTTTATCTAAGGGAAGGGCGCGTGAGTTCCTTGTCTAGGTCTAGAGCGTTATCAGTTTTACACCCCTTCCCCCCCCGCGGGCAGTAAATGAATTACCAATGTCAGCCATCATTTGCTGTTTCGTTTTCACTCGGATTTTATTATTTATTATTATTTTCGTGGCGTTTTTGTTGACCAAGTCCCACACACAGTGGGGGCAACCTCTTGACCCGATTTTTCCGATTAACTCGATGCTCCAGCCACGCCCCGTGGATTATCATCACTTGGCCATTGTTTTGGTTTTGGTTTTGGATTTATTTAATTTGTTCGTAATGTTTCGTAGGTTTTTTTTAGTAAATTGCGTGCCAAGAATTGTGGCACCTGCACAGCAGCAGCAGCAGCAACAGCAGCAACAGCAACAGCAGCAACATCGGCAGCAGCGATTGCACGGCAGCAACATCGCGCGACAAGAGCAATAATTGTTCAATTGTTTTCCACCTGCAATCACTGCTGGTGATGGAAAACGAAAACATGGCAGACAATCGCGGCGGGGAAAACAAAGGCAAATGGCATGGCAAACATCGGGTTGTCTTACATACTCCCTGCACTCAAAACCAGTGGGTCAAACTCGAATTCACATCCACAGCCGCAATCATGGGCACTCATATCGCGTCCCGCCGAGAGGAAAAGTCTTGGCCGACTAAAAAGCCAACTTGGCATTGCATCTGGAATGCATTTAAGCCATAGTCGGAGTCAGAGTCGCAGAACGTGTCTACGAGTGTCAGTATTACGGCCCAAAACCCGAACCCGAACCGAGCCGAGCTCAGCAGACAAACAAGTTTATTGAACTTGTTGGCAGTTGCCAGTTTGAAGCGCTAACACTCGAACAAAATGGGGAAACACAATGAATTTGAGATAAGATTTTCAAATATATATTTTCCATTTAAATCCCCAGAAAGAAAAATCTTTAAACAAAATGACAGAAGGAAATGTAAATTTCACTCTTTAAAAATTACATTTTTTCCTCAAAGGAAAATCTTGAAACAAAATATCAGGAGAAAATGTAATTTTTAAAAAGTAAAAATTAAATTTTTTGTTTTTCTTTTTTGGGCTTTTGACTATGACAAAAAATATGTAGCAACAACAAAAACTGCAAAGTTTATCAATAGTAAGACCACTGTTCTAAATTAATTTCAATTAATATTCTTTTATTTTTTTTTTGAGGTTTTTAAAACAGAACAAACACAGTTTCAAAATCATAAGTTTAAATGAAAGTATATTTTTTAACAAAAATGATTTGTAGTACTTTTTTAGATATAATGTTATGTTAAATTATATTGAGCATTACATTGTTTTATGAAAATGCTATAAATAAATTGTAAATGCTATTTTTTTTTTTTTGGGTATGTAGAATACTCAAAAACGTGAAAAGCATTTCTTCGAGTGCAGCGTATCGCTTATGAGATGCATTGGAAAACCCAAACTGGCGTCGAGTCGAAGGCCCAGTCAAAGTCGAGTTTTATTGCTGAGTGTCGGACCGACTTGCGGAAATCGGGGAAATTTGTGGCCTGAGGGCCCAAAGCCCTTGTTCGTTTCGGGAAGTCCCAGATCTCGAGGCCCCGATCCGCCCATCGATCCGATGAATTGCTCAACCTATGTATACCGCCAAGGAGAACCGTTTTGCAATCAATAACCGACGCGTTTTCCTTCGTTCCAATTACCGCCCAGCGAGGGTCCCACCAAGAGTTTTGAAACACCAACGGCCCATGCGGCAATGCCAATGCAAATGCAAATTAGAATTCAAATTCGAATTCGAATCAAAGTCACAGCGCATCGAACCAATGCGAAAAGTGCTGGCTAATTGTTTGGTAAACACGATTTATTGGTTCGCTGCCAGTTGTCCGCTGGTAATGGTATAATACTATAATACTATAATGGTTATGCGCCATCACTGGCCAACAAAAGTTTGATTCGTGAACTGAATAAGTAATAACTGACTGACTACGGATAGGGCAAGGGATACAAAACAATACTATTGATCAATATTCGAAATAATTTGAAAATTGATGAAATTAAGATGGATTTATTAATGCCATGTTGAGTTTCATTTCTGTTTTAGCTAAAAACGAAAATGACTTCGAAAAGTTTGACTTTTTCTATTTTTTCATAACTTTCTCTTACAGATTACAAATGATATTGTAGTGACTGGTTAAAAAAATGTATTTTATATTAGGCGACTTTTTTAAGAAAGTGGTTATTTAATAAATGGATTTAAGTACTCAATATTAAGTTGAAAAACATTTAAATATTTATAACTAAGTAAACGTTAACGCCTTTTAGTTGCAGAGTTAAAGGGATTAAGTCGTAAATTTAAACTGATTAATTGCTTACAAAAATATTTATGGCGTAAATATAATACAAAACTCAATGCTTGAACTTAAAATATTATATAAGGCAACTAACGAATTGTGAAACCGTTGAATTTCATTATTAAAGTATAGTCTTTACTAAGAGTGATACACTTAAATGTTATGCATGCAACTTACCCAAAAAAGTCGTCTGTTTTATTTGGGAACACATGAGTGGAAAACGAATGGCCATGACATGAAAAGGGAATGGTAACAGAATGCATGAATATGAGGGATTATGGATTAAGGTTACGCAAAAAGAACATATTGAAGTATCATAAATGTACAATTCCTCAAGATTACATTTGGCTTGTAATTTCTATAAAAATACTGTAAGTCACTTTGGCATGTACATCTTAATAACAAATAGTTTTCAGGGATCCAGTACTTGAGATCTGTAAGTACTGAAGGGTTTTGATACCCCTGTTGCATGGTGTTGTCTCACGTTGTCAGACGAGCGTGTTTACTTGTTTGCGCCGGCAAAACACAAAACAAAACAAAACAAAACGAAACGAAACAATACCGGGCAGCACTACACAAATAGGTGAATAAAAACAAATAGATAGTAATGCTCAGACTCAGCACAAGATCGGCAACAAGAAAACGGGCCTGTAATTACTGGCCCCTGTGGACAATTATGGCTCAGGGCGAAAAGTCCCCGAATGGCACTTCCCAATTTTGATCGGTGCTTTTAGTCCAAGTTCAACGTCAACAGATCCATAAATTTCTTTTCATCATTTCAGCGTAAATGGCATTTCGGAATTACCAAACACCGAGCGCCAAACACAAGGGAGCATATTAATCGAACCGCACATATTTATAGATCTCTGGCCAGTGGGTTTTGGGATGAGATTTGCGTTTCCGAGGAAACTGGGAATAACCTGGTCAGACCCTGCTATCGTTTACCGATCGATAACCCATCCATAGCCGACTTCCAGCACCGATCTTCATTATGCAAGCCGATTATGGCAATGATGGTGCTCACATGAAGATCAAGATCATGAATCGACAAATCTGTCAGTGCAAAATTGGTAAAAATAGGTGGAGAACATGCCATGTTATTAATGCATTAAAGCCAATTGAAATGGTGGGACAATAAAAATAGTAATAAGGGGAGCCAATCACCATAAAGTTTATTACTTATTTAACGCCCAAACATGTTGTAATTTAGAGAAGATTTTGAAAGTTTACATTTATTAAACAACTTTCATCAATAGAAAACAAAATTATTCAATTTTAGATATTATAAGATCTTGTAATTAAATAAAATATATTTAGTTAAAAAAAACCTTTAAGACTAGTTCCTATTACAACTACAAAATTATGGAAGATTTTGACGTCTAATTATAAAGACTATATTTCAAGTAATATGCGTTTGTACTCAAAATTCAAGATGTTATACCAATAAAACCAAATTGACCCAAAAATTATTTGAAGAAAATGTAACAAGTTGAGGCTTTAGTTTGTACTCCATTACAAACAACTTGTTTTAAAAGTGCAATTTTATACCAAGTAGTATCAGCTGAATACGGAAATATATCAAATTGAGTCTAATTGAGTGCCAGTTTATTATAAATTTATTATAACAAGAATAAGCACATTACTAATGTGTTTTTACCACTAACAGGGTAACATTGATGTCTAAATAGTTTCATATTGATGTTTGATTTTTTTCCGTGTAGACGATATTGTCATCCAATCCGCTTAAGATTCATGTATAATCATCGATTATCACTAATAACTTTCAAAAACTCAACGAAGTTTTATTTTGCATTTATTTAAACATTTTAATAATTTTTCATTAAAGAATTGTTTTTCCATTAAAGATGTAGAAACTAATAGTTCCCAAACTTCCCGATCATATATGTATGGCTGCATTGGGTCGATGGATGATACTGAACAAAATTATATAAAATTTATACGGCGGAAAACGCTTTATTCCACCTGATACATACTTTTTAACTAATACAAAATACACTATATATATAATTTATTAAGACTGTTCTACACGGCAAGGCGTTAAAAAATGGTAACTAAAATACTAATTTTTTTACTAAATAGTTTTTAATTTAAAAAATATGTTTATATTCACAAAAACACTTGTCATGAATTATAATCCATTATGATCACAAGGAAAGTAGAAAAAATTGTTTTTAAATTGCTGTAAGGGGAATTTGATTACAAAACTAATATGCTCTAATATAAAAATGTATTAAAAATCCTGATTAAGCCGATAACACAAAATAATAAGGAAAAAAAGCGAAAAAAAACGAGATTTTAATTAAAAGATAATTTTTTGTTTGGTAATCTCGACTGAAATATGGACAATGGGAAAATTCCCGATCAGATTGAGCTGAGTGAATAAACCAGAGCTCCCTCGATAAGTTCGAAACGATTGTGTTCGCGTTCGTATCGGCCCATAATGGGCAATCAAGAAATCTTAAAGGAAATCAACTTGCGACGATAATGGACTCGGTACAATTTAAATGACCGCAGCACTAGATAGTGTCCGGCCACGATTTGTTTTTAATGGCATCAGGCCGTATTTATAGCCGTGGTTGGCTGATAAAGCCATAATACGAATGGCATGTTCCACATAAATCAGGGGTAAATCTCAGCACTTTTGCCAAGAGGCTCTCCGATAAGAGCCATCTGGATGGGCCATCCTCGAGAGTCGAAAAAGCCGAGCCCACCAGGAAGCATCCATTTGCCATCGCTGGATAAGTGCTAGTTGATTGATCGATCCATCGATCTATCTATACATCTATTTACTGGATAAGTGCGAGTACCAAGTGAATCGCTTTGGGGGCGACAGGAAGTCTAGATAAGCGTGTGGCTAATGATTAGGGACAGGGGTGCAAAACAGAGCCGGAAAGGCACGCAAATATTTGGCAAACGTTGCCCATTCGAGGGTAAACATTTTAAGGGCTGTATTTAACTAGCTTTTAGGCTGCCAAAATAATCTTTAAGACTTGACGTCTAGTTGGGTTTATATGTAGCATTAAACTGATTCAACTAATTTGGTTGTGGTTTTTATTTCTTTCTTTGTATATCTTTTCCCACATCAGTTTAGTTTTAATTGTATAAAGGTGTTTCTTATAAAAGAATTAGAAGGATTCATTATTTTATTTACTTTATTGTTACCATAATCGCAAGAACTTATATTTAAAATATAACCATTACATGCAGATTAAGGTTCAGCATATTTTTGACCTAAATTATTCTGAGAGCTAATAGCATCTCAATAGAAACATATTTTAAAAATGTAACTTTTTGTTTA